GGCCGGGAGCCCGGCCTTCGCAAAACCCCATCCAGGGGGCCACGGTTACCTGACATCGGTGCAAACAGTGAGTGTGCACTAGGTATGCACTCACTCTCACACGCACTCATCAGATCCTCAGCGTGTACCATGGGCATGCTTCACTCGGCTCCCTGGAAAGGAAGGAAGTTCCTCGCCGAAGTGCCAGAAGCCCAGGTGCCATCCGGGCGAATCACGGTGCCCAGGAAGACCCTGCAGAGTAGTGGGTGGCCATCAGGGTCTCTCTCCTGTGTTTTCACCCAGGTGGACAGCCTGGGAGGCTGGATGAGTGTCTCACATCATCTACCTTGGAAGCATCTCTAAGAGCTGAGAGTGCCCACCCCTCCCCAAGGGGCAGCCCGGCCACCCAGCCAGGGCCGAGTCTGGAGTGCTTAGCAAGTATAAGGACACGGACACGCTTCCCCAGGGAAGGGTACTGGTGGCCCATGACCCTCTGGTCTGTGTCCTTGAGAGCCACCACCACACTGGGCCTGAGAGTCACTGCACTCACTGCATACACACGTCCCCCCGAGGAAATGGAGCACATCTTTGGGTGGGAGAATAGTTGCCCACAAGGACAGCATGGAGCAGTCAGGGCTTGCACTTTTTGAAGGGACAGACAGGAATCCGGTCCTCCGCCCCAGCCAGGGGCCCCTGACATTTCACTCAGCATACTCCCCAAGCCACAGGCCCTGATCTAAAGCCCAAGTACACAGACAGAGGTCAGGAGTTCTTGGGGGATACACAGATGTGTGTCTGGGATATCCGCTGCAAGGCAAGAGCCAAATGACTTGTTTCAAAAGGACACTTGGCAAGGCACGGATCACAGAAGACTTGCAAAACTCACTAACGCTGATCTTATATCAAACACTGTATACCATGACTGCAGCATCCATTCTGCCTTTTCGAACAGGCCTGAGTCGTCTAATATGGTAGCCACTAGCCAAATGAGGCTGCTGAACATCTAAAATGTACAAAGTCTGAACTGAGACATTCTGTAAGTATAAAACATGCTGTGGATTTTGATGACAGTAAAGAATATAAAATGTCTGTTTTAATACTGACTACAAGTTGAAATGACTGTGTTATATACATCCAGTTCAGTTCAGTCGCTCAGTCGTGTCCGACTCTTTGCGACCCCATGAATCGCAGCATGCCAGGCCTCCCTGTCCATCACCAACTCCCAGAGTTTACTCAAACTCATGTCCATCGAGTCAGCCATCTCATCCTCTGTCATCCCCTTCTCCTCCTGCCCCCAATCCCTCCCAGTATCAGGGTCTTTTCCAATGAGTCAACTCTTCGCATGAGTTGGCCAAAGTATTGGAGTTTCAGCTTCAGCGTATACATTAGGTTAAACAAAATATACCATTAATTTGCCCTTGTTATGGGCTGAATGTGTCCCCTCAAAATTCTTACGTTGAAACTCTAATGCCCAATGTGAACCCCTTGATGGGGTTAGTGGAAGAGGAAAAAAAAAACAAACGGTGCCCACTGGAAGCACCAGGTGAGGCCATGTGAGGATGCAGTGAGAATACAGCCATCTGTAAGACAGCCCTCCCCAAACCCTGACCATGCTGGCATACTGACTTCAGACTTCCAGCCTCCAGACTGTGAGAAAAGAGGTAAGTCACACAGTCTGTGGTATTTTCTTATAGCGGCCTGAGGAGGCTAAGACACACCTGTTTCTTTTTCAAAACTACCAGAAAAGTTTAAAGTCTTCTGTGTGGTTCCCTCTGCATCTCTGTTTGACAGTGCCGTCCTAGATCTTCCTTCTACAAGGGGGTGAGGGTACTTCTAAACAGCAAGCCCAGGGTTTGAAGGCAGCACATCCAGGAAGATGGAGGAACAGGAGGACCAGCTCAGCCCCACCCGGGTCTGTGGAGGCTCCTCCCATAGCTCCTCACAGGTCAGGCAGTGGCCACCAGAGGACTGGCTGATGTGACCATAAGAAACACAGTGACTCCCACCTTCCTACAGTAAAGAATCTGTCTGCAATGCAGGAGACCTGGGTTCGATCCCTGGGTTGGGAAGATCCCCTGGAGGAGGGCATGGCAACCCACTCTAGTATTCTTGCTTAGAGAATCCCCATGGACAGAGGAGCTTGGCGGGCTACAGTCCGTGGGGTCACAAAGAGTCGGACATGACTGAGCGACTAAGCACACACGTACAAGCACTGTCCAAGCCAGGGAAGAGGATGGAAATTCCAGGGACCCAACCCCATCCTGCCTCACCTAATCAGGTGGGGACCTGACACTGGTCAGGAGAGAAGAGTTAATTAGGGAAGAGGCCACCTCTGAAGGCCTGGTCTTTGAAGAGCCCAGCAGCGCCAGGAGGGATCCAGAGACAGCTACGTGAGCCGCTGCTTGCCTAATAAGTAGGCTAGCTGCAGCCCTTCCCTCTAGAGGCCAATGTCTTTCTTCACTTCAGAGATCTCACTTGGGACTAAAGCATCTCAAAGCAAAACTTCTAAGGCAGAGAAGGGAACAGGTTCAACACCACCGACACTTTGCTTCTGTGACACATGAAATGGCTCCAAAAGATCCATGACCCCCTTCCATATGGTGCCCAAGTACCAATAAGGGGGCGCTACCCAGGTGGCTAGTGGTAAAGAATGCGCCTGCCAATGCAAGAGATCCAGGCTGGCTCCCTAGGTTGGGAAGATCCCCTGGAGGAGGAATGGCAACCCACTCCAGTATTCTTGCCTGGACAATCCCATGGACACAGAGGAGCTTGGTGGGCTACAGTTCACGGGTGGCAGAGTCGGACATGACTGAGCACGCATGCATCCACCAATAAGGCGTCTCTGTCTTCCAGTCGCTGCATTCAAATTAAGCAGCTCCAAGCCCCACAAGGAGAACTTTCTTGCCTTCGGTGCAGACGGCTAAGCCATGATACACCGGAAAGGAGGCCGGTAGAGTGGGAGTGGGGATAAGGAGATCCGGGATCCCCACCCCCGCAGCAGCCTGGGGATCCCAGCCCCGCCCCTGCACTCCCGGCCCCGCCCTTCGCGGGTTTCCCAGACTCTAAGCTGCTGCCACCGCGGGCGGCAGGGGACCCGCGCTGCCTGTGTAATGGGGGCTGGGAACAAAGACGCGCAGGACCAGCTCCCCGGCTGCCGCACACCAGCCTAAGAGACCATCCCGAGCTTCTCCCCGAAGCTTTAATGCGCGGCTTCCCAGGGCTGCCCAGAGTCATCCGAAGCCGGGTGCGGAGCCTGTCCGCGCGCACTCTAGAGTAGGACGCGTCCCAGTACCGCTAAAAGAGGAAAATCTGTGCGCCGGCCAGGGGGGAAAGCGATCTCCCAGCGCAACTCCGCGTGTATACACCCGCACCCACCCACCCTCAGCCGCTAGCACGCAAGCCGAACGCTAGCAGGGTCACCCACCCCCGCCACGTGCTTTCCCAGAGGTCAGGACAAACAGAGACCTGTTGGTTTTTCTTCTCGCCCCACCTCTCCTTCCAGGTGCCCCCAAACAAAGCAGTTTCTCAGGGTGACCGCACCTCGCGTACCGGGGCGCCGCAGGGAGAGCGGGCGCAGGTGGGAGCTGGCGCCAACGGCGCGCCTCCCGGGGAACACCACGCAGACGTGGTGGGGTGGAGTGCAAGAGACTCCTCTGGGCTGTGCGAAGCGGCCCGCTTCGCTCCGCTACACCTAAGTGGCTCTGAGGGTCGCGCAATCCTGCCCCCAGCCAAGGCTGCACCTACAATCCCGCTACCTCCGTATAAGATCTGCCCGCCCCCCTTGGCCACCTTCCCCATGCTTCGATTTTCGTCTCACTCTGGGTTCCACGCGCCCATATAGCCTGAACCCCGACCCTGGGGTCGCCTCCGCGAAAGGGAGCCCCGCAGGCCGCCGCACAGGCAAGATCATCCCCCCACCAAGATCAACGAGCGGGGCGCCCTGCGCGCCCCCTGTCCCCGCCCCGGGAGGTGCAAGCTGGGTGCAGGTGGCGCGGCAAGGAGGCCGCGGGCCCGCCCTTTGTTGATAAACACCGCGCGGCGCCCGAAGCCGCCCCGCGTGCCCTTCCTGCGCCCCCCACGCCGCGCCCCGTTCTTACCGGCGCACAGAGATCCCCAGAGGAGGGCGAGGGCCGCCCAGGGCGCCGTCATGTTCCGCGGCGCCGCCCCGCGGACACCCGGAGCCCGCGGGCAGGGCCGCGCGGCGCTCCCTGGGGGGAGGGGTGGGGGGGAGGGGAGCTGAACCGAGTCCAAAATGGCTCCTGAGCCGCGGCCGCGGAGCCGAGCCAGCGGGGAAACCCGGATGTTGGATACAAAGAGGCGGGCGAGCTGGGCGGGGAGGGGGAGGGGAGGCGGGCCCTCCGGCCGCGTGGTCCGCGCCCCCCTCGGGGGCGGGGCCCCAGATAAACAACAAACGAAGGCCCCGCCCCCCGGCCGGCGTGGTCCGGAAGGCGTGGGCAAACTGCACGACCCGAGGGCGAGGCAGGGCGAGGTGGCAGGATTGGGTCCTGGACCACTTAGCCCCGGGACCCCGGGACCTCGTGGCCGCGGCACCGTGATTCCTGCTTTGCACTCTAGAGCCCACGCTCCCGAACGCATGCTGCTTTGCGACCGCGGAGAGGCTGTGTCGCCCCGGACTCTGGCCTGGATTCCCCTCTGCGCCTCCGTCTCCCCACCTGAGATGGGGGTCACAGTGAACCACAGGAGACGTGTCTGTATTGATGGGCGAACTAATCTGCAGAAAAAAAGGCTAATTTCCCTAAAATGACAAGTGGTCTCTTACGTCTGCAACCCAACCCCAAACACACACAAAGGCACAGCTGGGGATCTTGAAATTGGACACATCCCAGGGAGGGAGAGTGGGAGCCCCGCCCCCGCAGAGCAGCAGCAGATGGAAAAGGGCCTCTAGCAACTTGCCTCCCTACCCTTAACCCCGAATGGTCTCTCAGCACTGCACCCACCTAGCCTCCACCCGCCCTCCCTCACCCCAACCCACCCCACCCCACCCCCGCTTTAATATGCACCTTCAAAACTGTTCTCAGTTGTTCCCGTAGTTAAGCTTGTCCAGCGGGTGTCTCTGCTACCCTCTTCACTCCCCCTCCCCAGATGCCTTCTAGAGAGCCCCTTGTTTTCTGGGTTGGTTTCCACCATCCTTACTACAATCAGGTCTTGGGAGGGTCATGATGGAGAAGGAAATGGCAACCCACTCTACTATTCTTGCCTAGAGAATCCCAGGGACAGAGGAGCCTGGTGGGCTGCTGCCCATAGGGTCACAAAGAGTCGGACGCGACTGAAGCGACTTAGCAGCAGCAGCAGATGAGGCTCCCGGCTAAAGAGGGAAAGCCCGCTCACACCTCAGGGATGAGGGGCGGAATCCTTCGTTACAGAAATGGTCCTCTGGCTGCTCCTGATTTGCCACAGCCTTTCTTGGAGCAGGACAAGAGGAGCCAGGCTCGAGGTGGAGCCTGGAAGTCTGAGTTGTTTTACTTTTCTGAGCCTCAGTTTCCTTTTACAGAAAGCGAGGAGGCTAAATAAATAAGGGGGAAATGTGAGTAGGCTAGATTCCTTCCATGCTTTACATATTTTAAATAGCAGAAACCTTATTCAAACGAAATCTTATGTAAAAGTCCACTTTGTAGAAAGTGTATCAATGAAGTTGAAATGAGGGTCCACCACCCCTAGTTTCCACAGCACTAGGAACACCTCAGGGACCACACTTCGGAGTCACTTACAGATTATAGGATGCTATACTGATGGACACATGACAAGAAAAGCAACTGTCATTTCTTCGGAAGGGAAGATAAATCACTACCTCCTTCCTACTGGAAGGTAGCGACCATAATCTGCGTGCCAACAGTTAGACTGGCTGCTGCTTCTTTGCTACTCCACACCAGGTAGGGTATCACAATAAAGGTTCAGGGTGGTCCAAACAGCCAACACATCTGCATCTTCCACCCTGGCATCTCTGGGAACTTCAAATTCATATAACCAAATGCCTACCTGACATCTCTATTGGGCAGCCTATCAGGTATCTAGAACTTGCCCTAACTAAAGCAGAGGTCCTCATTCCCCAATAAATCTACTCCTCCAGTTGTACATGTCTGAATCAATGGCGTAACCAGCCAATAATTCAAGTTGAAATTTTATGTAATTCTTGATTCCTCCCATATTCAGTCCATCAGCAATCTAGTTTCAGAAACACATCCACCATCAATCCACTTCTCTTCCAAATAGACTATCACCACCCAGTATCTTAACTTGTGGATCACTGCAAGAGCAGTGAACTAAAATCATGTCTTGTCACCTTCTTTCATTCTTCCCTGGCTATATGTTCTGGATAGCAATTGAAATGATCTTTTCAAAATGGGACTCACTTCATATTTCTCCCTTGCTTCAAATCCTCCCATGGCTTCCTATTATGATGGCTAACAAATTGGTATATGAACAGCCCTACTTCCTCCACCATCTCACCATCATCAGCCAGACACACTGACCTACTTTTTGTTCCCAAGACACATTAAGGTGGTTTCTGCCTTAGAGCCCCCCACCGGAAACTCCGCACTGGCAAGGCTGGAGTTGAACTCCCCACTGGCATGGGGAGTTCCCATGATTCTCTTGCAGAGCTGAAATCCATGTTGTTAGGCTCATAGGATTAGCCTCTGTCTCGACCACCATTTGCTCATGTGCCCACAGGCTGTTTCGGAAGGTGATGCTGGGTATCTGAAATATCAGGCATGAGGTGATGGGAAGGTGAAAGGCAAAAACCCAACAAATGTCCACTCTAAAATTTATGGCAGGGAATTCTGCCATTCAGGAATTCTGTGTGTTCGAACCACTCTTCTTCCCATTTTCTTCCTTCCTCAGTGATCAAGGTGGGAAACCAAGGGATCAGGAAGAAACAGCTGAGCATGGCATCCTTCCATATCAAGTTAATGACAGAAGACTATAGTGTTATACTACTTGGTATCTGTATAGTTATAACGCGTTCTATTGTGAAGCTTAAGTACATTTAACTGGCAAGATAAACTCTTAAAGGAAGCACAATTTTTGTCATTTTATTTAGAGACCTTTTTATTTAAACACACAGAAGTAGCCCCAGCCTGTTTCAGCTCATGAAAGGCCCTGATTATAGAGATATACCATAGCAGGTAATTATGAGAACTATGGGAAACATACATGAGTATATATTAGTGGGTAATTTAGGTACATTAAATTACCAGTACATTAAACAATTTCAGGGGGTACGTTAATTGGATGGATGCATGGCTTTTTTGGCAATACAATTCTCCCCAAACGTATCCATTTACTTCCAACCTGTCCCATGTGCCATCAACTTTAAAAGTTATTTCCCAGACATTTCAAAACTGTTTCCTTTCTTGTCCCCGCAGTTCTTCCCACCCTGTCTTAACTTAGTGGTGGCTACCTTGAGGTCAACTAAATTAGTTGGCTTGGATGGTAATTAGGTAAAAAGGTAACTCTCCGTAGCTCTTATAACAGATTAGATTATGCTGTGCTAATGGAAAATCCCCAAACCCCAGTGGCTCAGAACAACAAAATTTATTTCTCACTCATACTGTAAGTCTGCTGGGGGTCCGGAAGCAAGCTATACTCATTATAGTAACTTAGTAACACAGGCTGATGGAGGCTACATTTTGATACATGCTTCTACTATTGCAGAGAGAGGGGGACAAGAGCCTGGTAAATTACATTCAAGCTCTTAAAACATCAACCAGATTCTGAGAAGATGGGGGCTAGGTTGGTGGCTGCATACCTTTTGAATCTTCCAAAATACTCACAGAGTAACTACATGGAAGAAAAAAAAAAAAAAAAACAGAAAATCCATGTACATTTACAATAAAACCAGGTGACAAGGTTTCCCCCAAAACACCAGAATACAAATGAATCGAGACAACTACCAACAGTAATAAAAGCTTCATGGACTAGTCTGTGCAAGGGGAAGCTGAGGAATGGGGTGAAAGAGGTACCTGGGAAATACAGAATCCCAAAATAGCTAAGAGATAGTCACTGGAAAGCACTGATTCAGTAACAAGAACAGTTGGTGAAACTAGGAGGGGTTTTTTCCTTCAATTCAATAGTGAGTGAATCAAAGAGACTGGTAAGAATAGAAAAAACTAGAATGGTCCATCCTTGTGAACACTTAAAACTGACAGGCCAAGCCTCCTTTTTAGGTCAGGCTCCTACAAGGTGGAGAAATCTCTGGAAGTGCTGGATAAGATGTTTTACTTCCAGTCATCATGCAGTAGCTGGAACAGTTATTTGCCCTTTGGAGCCATGACAAGGAAACTGGACAAAAGATAGGAGTCAACTATCTTTGGATTTTGCACCATCTTGAAACCTCTGTGAAATGAGAAATAGTTGAAGTGAGGCTTATGATTGCCCCTGCTTTCTGCTTGGAGACACATTCCAGTCCACAGTGCAGCAAGTGTGTAAAACAAGCAGAACCTGGTCACCTTGCAGAGTTGGGATCGGAGACAGAGGTTGGAGATGGGAAAACAAGGAGCAGAGAGAGGAGGGCACGGCATTGAGAAAGCTGGAGGTCTGCAGACAAGTCTCCTTGGGGCTTTTGCTGAATTCAAGGTTTCACATACTTAGAATCAAACTCCATGAGGGAAGCAAGCAAGCTGAATAGCTCCAAGACTGGCACAGAACACTTTTTATTTCTAACTGGTCAAAGCGGACAAGTCCTTACTCAACACCCAGGACACTGGGAGTAAAGACTCAGAGGGTCACTCCAAGGGCAGTGGAGATGAACTAGCCCTGGAGTCAAGGCTCTGTAAATGCACACTGCCAAGCCTTGCCGTGATCAAGCTGGTCTATAAGTAACTTAAATACCTACCAGACAACAGGTCAACACCTTTTTAAAAGAATTCAACACATCTGGCACTGTACCATAAAAGAATTTACAATGCCCAACATTTAATTTTTAAAATAACTGAATATGAGAAGAAGCAGGAAAATGTAACCCGTCAGGAGGAAAATCAGTCATTAGAAACAGACAGAAAGGGCAGAGATGATGTTACTATCAGTCAAGGAATTTTTTAAATGCTCTTTTAAACATGCTGAAAGACATTTGGAAACAGGAACATCATGAAGAGAGAATGAAATACTTCAGAAATGGACTTTCAGGAGATAAAAGAAATACAGTGTCAGGGGACATATGTATACCTATGGCTGATTCATGTTGATGTTTGGCAGAGACCAACACAATTCTGTAAAGCATTTATCTTTCCATCAACAAACAAACAAACAAACAAAAAAGAAAGTGTCATTTTTTTTAAATTGGGTAGAATTGACATTTTTTTCCCGTATTTTTAATTCATTTAACTGTTTTATTTTTATCAATGTTACAGTATTACAAAGCTATACTTCACCTGTCACTGTTTTAATTATATCCTATAGATTTCATTATCAATCTTTTTTCTGTCCATTAATTTTTCTTTTTAACACATTTCTATAAGTTTTATAAGTATTTTACACCTAGATCTTAAACATTTTGATTTTTTTTTTTTGCCCCGCTGTACAACTTGCAAGATCTCATTTCCCCCACCAGGGGTAGAACAGAGACAGTGAAAGTGCCAAGTCCTAACCACTGTCCCATCAGGGAATTCCCTCAATCACTTTGTTGGACACTCTGAAATTTTGCTTTATGTTTTCCCTTTGCCCCAGGAGTCCTTTGACTTGCACATTTTGTCTTTGCAACAGAGCTCTTTGAGGTTTTATATATATATATAACATTTATATATTTATTTATATATTTAAACATTTATCTATTTATTTACTTATTTGGCTACACCAGGTCTTAGTGGGAGTTAGTTCCCTGACAACGGATCAAACCCAGGCCTTCTGCATTGGGAGAACAGAGTCTTAGCCACTGGACCACCAGGGAATTCTCATGACAGCTCTTTATACTGTCCTCTTCTTTTTTTTAATTTAGTTGTTACTTCTACCCTGTCAAAACATGTACCATCTGATACTCTCCTTCTACCCTAATCCCCACTTTCACTTCGGTCTTAGATCTAAAAGGATTCAGTGCTCACTAGCAATCCTTTTGCTGAAGTTTCCCCAATCATCTAATTGGATGAGGCTTGTTTTAGTAGAACACTGAGGAGTTGAGTACAATATTTCCTGAGCTCTTGCATGATTAAAACTTTAAAAAAAAAAAAACTTAAAAAAAAAATCCTTGATACATAAAGGGCAGTTTAACTAGACACGGAACACTCGGTTCATAACTTTTATCTGAGTTTCTTGAACATTTGCTCTACTGCTACCTTGCTTTTTGATGCCAACCTGATCTTTCCGGAGACTGTCTGTCATTTTCTTTCTGGGCCTTTCCAGCTCTTCACGTTGTTTTTGCTGCCTTAGCTTTTTTCATTCTTATCTTCTATATGATTTATAGTACTTGTGGTCATTCTTATTTTCATTTGGATATGTTGTAATTTAGTCTTCATCATCTAGGGTGATTTTATCTTTCTGTTCAAATTCTTCCCCAAGTTTGGTCCGTTCTCTTTTCACATTATCCGTTGTTCACATTTTCATTTTTATTCCGAGTTTCTAGATTTCTGATCTGTGGTATTCTTTCACAGCCACAACTGTTTCTTATTTTTTGAAGTTCATGTTAGAGGGTTGTTATAATTTACCCTTTGTTCCTTTTTACGTGAAGTATGTCATTAGCCTTAAAAGTTATGATTCTCACTTTGTTTTCTTCTCATACTTGTATAAATAATCAGCTCCTTTTTCTGTTTATGTTGATATCCCTGTAATAATGGGCAACTCTATGGGGGCAGGGGTAAAATGAGGAGTGGATTGAGCAACTTACTCTTTTTTTTGATAGGAGACTTCTTGTTTGTTGGTCAGTAATGGAATTTCTTTAATAAGTAACGTCCAAGTGGTGGTGAGGTGGGGGAGAGTTGTCTATTTTCTTCTGAATCTTTGACCTGCTGCTGATGGGCTGTGGTCTTCAGCTTTTTGCTTCCTTTTTTGCCTTCATCCATCAAGCTTAGAAGGGTATCACTCCCTTTCAAGATGACTTCATCTTTTTCAGATGTGGTATCTCTTATCCTACTTAAACCTCTAAACTCCTTCCCTTGACTTTCCACCAGTCTCCTCTGATCCTCTAGGTCTCAAACCTATTGCAGCATTTGTGTCCTCTGGATGAGACCACAAGTAGTTAGGTTTAACCCAAGTCCAACTTAGGTACAGGCCTGTGGCAACAGAAAAATCTGGAGGATTTTGCAGGAGGCAGGTCACAGAGGACTTTCTATGGAGGCTTTTGCAATAATTTCAGCAAGGAATAAAAGGGTCTAAAGTAAAACAGGGAGGGGTGGAGAGAAAGGAACTACTTTTAAGGGATTACTGAAGGAATAACCAAAGTTACTTGGTGACGGATCTGAGGTGGGAAAGCAGATATCTGAGTTCTGAGTTTGGGTTCCTGAACGAATGAATGGATAGATGGTGGTACCAATTCACTGAAACACAAAGTCTCGAGGAGGAGGTTTGGGGAAGGGCATGGGAAGATGAGTTGCATCTGAAGTACCCCTTTGAGAATGCTGACCAACTCCAGAGAGAGTTCTGGCTGCAGACACCAAGCTGGGTATAACTAGTATTTAAGGAGCAGCTGAAGTCCAAGGCTAGATGAAATCACCCAACAAGAGGGGACAGAATCAGAGGGAAGGAGGAATGAGAACAGAGATTTGGGGCCCAGCAATAATTGAAGAGTAGATAGGGCAGAAGTCTCAGTAAAGAAGAAAGAATGAATGATAAATAAGGAAAGTAGGTGGAGAAGAAAATGGTAACCCATTCCAGCATTCTTGCCTGGGAAATCCCATGGACAGAGGAGCCAGGTGGCCACAGTCCATGGCATCCAGAGTTGAACATGACTGCGCACACGTGCACACAAGGAAAGCAGGAGAAAAGTTGGAGAGAATGGCTGTCAGAAGACAAAAAGAAGAATCATCACTGCAATGGATTAAGACATACAAAGTAAGTTAAATGTATCATACTGATACTAAAAACCTAATTGCTTTCAGAGGATGCTTGGGGATCAACTTATCCTGAAAACTGGTGAATAAAGAGGAAAGAATCTATTTATTTTGCTTTGTCTTTCCCAATCTGCTGAAAGGGGAGAAGTCACAACTTTTCTTGGATATATCCCAAGCTCAGTGTTATCTTGCCTCCTGGGATAAAGACAGGAAAAGAGAGATGCCCTCCTGCCCTGGGCACAACGGCATGGGGATGCGAGCAGCCCATCTGGACTCAGGAGGATGTGCTAAGATGGGCTTTAAGGTGGTCCTAGGCAGGGCTGGAGCACCGCAAGAAATCAGGTGGGGAAGTGGGAAGGGCAGAGCTGCCCAGAATAGGGAAGAGGATCCCAGCTGTGCAAGGCCACATCTCCAGGTGGGGTCAGGGGGCCTGGGCCTGCAGAATTCACTCTGGAGGCCCCCGGGTCTGGCTCAGGAGTCTCTGCTCAAGCATAGCATACCGCTGGAGGAGGGCCTCATAGACCTGGAGGGGTGGAAAGAGCAGTTTAGGATGGGGAAGGGATGGTGCCTCTTACATCTCTTTGCAAATTACAGTTTAAAAACTTTTCCAGCCCGCTCACTTGCAATTTAATTTTTTTTGCTGGGCAGACAAAAGAGAAGTGTCAATTCACAAAAGAGGAAATGGTAGTAGTTCCCCAACCTGTAGTTTTAAGATCTTTAAAAAATGGGAACTAAGACAAGAAACCAATTTTTGTTCTTAAATCTACAAAACATTTAAAAATTCTGATGAAGGTGCCTGGAAATGACTGTCTCTTTGCACAGTTGGTAGAAGTTGGTGGTGCAACACTTTTGGAAATCACCTCAACTTTACATTTGGATAAAGGGGCTTGACAATGCCCATAGCTTTCGACCTGGTTATTCTACTCCTTAAAGCTCTCAAGGAAATAATCCTAAATGTAGGGTGCTAGGTACACCAAAGGTCTTCTCAGACACCACTAAACATTCAGACTCATAAGACTACCATGGGTTACACCTTGACCCTCAACAGAATATACTGGAGGAACATGAGTGCTGGCACAGCGGCTGAAAGGGCCCATGAACAGTTTGTACAGGTGTCCAGGGAAGGGTCTCTTTGCCTCCCTGCCTTCTCCCCTCCCTACCCCCCCAGGTCACAGCTCAGATGCAAGGAGATGAAATCCACATCTTACAGGTACAGTAGTCTCATTTGCCACAGGAGCATCTCTCCCAACAACTCCGTGGGCAAGAGATGTGCCTGTGAGAGGTCACAGCACTCAGGGAGCCCTAAGTCTGATTTACCCTTAGGTATTTGCGTTTTCCCACTTAAGATGCAGTTTCCTCATTCAAGGCCATATGGCCATAAGCAATGTTGCCTAGTAACACTGTTGACATTCCATTTTTTATTAAGTCTCGAAGGAAGCAGAGCTAGAACATTAACCAAAGGTCAAATTCTCATGCAGAACAGGCAGAGGTTTTGTTAATCCTTTACCCACAAAGGATTAATCATAATAATCAAAAAAACTAGAAGCAACTGCTCTTAAGACATGGAAAATGCTTGAGAAATGTGGTTCATCAGCCAGTCAGAATATTATGCAGTCATTAAAAATAACATGTAGGCACATTTTTAAGAATATAAATATTTGGTTGTAATGTAGAAGTTTAAAAGTGGGATACATCTGAAAGAATGCTTTAACACACAATCATGAAAACTGTGATTTGGGGAAATATATCTTGATGAAAATGAGGCATAAAATGGAGAGTGAAGAGAGCTTGCAATATGGAATGTAGAGATTTGTAAAATTAAAATCTGTCAATAGAGTAATAGTTGCAAATATTCAAACAATAAAGTCTGTGGCTAAAGGAGCTAAAAGGGAAAAAAAAACTAAAATGGACTACAAAATTATGTATATAATGTGCTATAAAATAAAACCCAAACCAAAAAACCAACAAGTGAAAAAGGGCCAGAAAGAAATACAACCCCACATTCTTCCTCTTCATTCCTTTCGTTTAAAGTTCTTTTAGCCTGTAGCTTGCACAAGTGTAAGCCTTGCAGTTCAGGTCAGTGTGTGTTACAGATAAGACATCATAGACCAGCAACACTGAAGACCAGGGATCCATATTTCCATGGGACTCACATATACCACTAGGAGGTCATGCCAATCTCCATTTGGCTTAACCGGCCCCTAAAGCAAGGACTTTAGCAACTGATTATGCAACAGGGCCTCTGCCCATGAACTCACTGGGGAAGTAAGGGGGCCTTTCATCTCCTCCCCAAGGAGGAAACTGAAACATTCAGCTGAGCCTACAGGGAAAATACAGTTCCTGTCTTGAGTTTTGACTTGAGCACAGGTGCGCCATAGAAGGCAAATAGAGGATGCTGCCCGGCTGTTTACAATCCAGTCCTCAAATAAGTCACTTGTGCCAACAATCACAGCCTGTCACTGCTTGCCAGCTAGTGCTGAGAAGGATTCTGAGGTTACACTTGGGTTTAACAGTAAAGAGTTCCATGAGCTATTAGCGACTGGTCATAAGCAAGCCAGGGAGAGTGGCAGGACACACACTGAGTGTTTGCCACCTGTCATGAGGCAGGCGCAGCTGTTTGTTACCCTAAAGCTTTCCCCAGCTCCCTTCTTCCTTTCTGGCCACCTTCTAGAGAGGATAAAAGAGCAGCCAGACTCTACCCCCGGCTGACTGTATAACCAAGTGGTCATCCGCTGGGGGAGTTGAGGGGAACAGAGTAATAGGTTTCTCCCTGATAAGCAAGAGTGTGTGAGGAGACACTCTCTGCCCAATGCCATGGTCTGATTCCTGCCTGTGAACACAGCTGTGGGCAGACAGGATGTTAGAAGCAGCTACAAACATCCTGTGGCCATGTGGAGCATGGATAGTGCGGCACGATCCACTATGGTAGCCACAAGCCATATGCGGTCCTGAGTGCTTGCAATGTGACTGCTGCTGCTAGTAGAAAATACATACCAGATTTCACAGCTCATCCACACACACACACACAAAGTAAAATATCACACGAGCAACTTATTAATTACATGTTGAAATGACAGTAGTTTGGACATTTTGAATATATTAAAGTCAGTCACTTTTTTTTTTTATTTTTACGAGACTACCAGAGGATTTAAATGACATGTGGTTCCCATGATGTTCCCTTTGTCCACTGATGATCTGGAGAATGTCAAAGAACCTGACTCAGAGCCCTGACACAGCTGAACCACTGAACCAACACTGGCAACACCATCCGACCTCCTGTGGTATGACAAAGCCATGCTAGGCAAGCATTCTTTTTAAGCCTCACAATGAGTAGGTTAAAAGCAGGCTGGGGAAAAAAAAAAAAAAGCAGGCTGGACAAATGTCCCCCAGTTCCCATATGAAGAAACAGAGGTTTGCAGATGAGTGCAGGTCAAGGTCACGTGAAGGTCACACGGAGAGGGAGAGGCATGATAAGAATCCTAACCCAAAGTCCCTTTATCTCAAAGCAGGCTCTTTCGACTGCATTGAGCTGCCTTTTAAACAGGACGCACAACAGAAAGTAATGGCAGCCTGGGCAGACCCATGTGGGCGGGTTATCTAATCACCTGGAAAGTAGGAGCTTCTGCTTCCAAGACAGGCGGGGAGACAGTTCTCCAGGGTGTTTCTACACATCTTGTGACAGCTTTTGTTCCTGACTATCTCTTCAAGGGTGTTTGTATAGCAAACAGCCTTGGAAGATGGACAGAGGGGAAATCGGTGTGCTGATCAGGATCAGAAAGATAAGGACTCCTTTGAGGGCCAAGGCTGGACCGGTTTGTTGGCAGCTCCTTTATGATGCTGGGGGATTCCTAAGCTTGGGGGTCCCCTCAGTTGGATCACAGACACAGTGAGGGCACACCATCATGTGGGTCCACTCCACACTGCCCCAAGGCTCTTTAAGGCCAAGGAACACTGATACAAACATGGAGCCTATACTGCCTGCGGTACTGTGAGTAATAAAGCCCTCTGTTTGGGTCGCCCCTGCTCCTGGGCTGCAAGAACCTTCTACAAACTGGAAAGGCGGTGCAAACCGTGCAGACTGCCCCTTGCTACAACTGGGTAAAACTCGAAAGCATCATCCCAGCTTCAGAACTTCCTGTAGGATTGGCCGAGGGCTCCACTGAGATGGCACTGCAGCAGCTCCTCTCTCACCTTGCCCCAGCCCTGCCTCTTCCATTGCCCTTCCACCGATGCAGATTCCAAGAGTGCCCCCTCATAAACCTCCTATATGTGCAAGTGTTAGTTGCTCAGTCGTGTCCGACTCTTCGAGACCCCATCTGTAGCCCGCCAGGCTCCTCTTTCATGGGATTCTCCAGGCAAGAATACTGGAGTGGGTAGCCATTCCCTTCTCCAGGGGATCTTCCCTACCCAGGGATCGAACCTGGGTCTCCTGTATTGCAGGCAGATTGTTTACCGTCTGAGGCACCAGGGAAGCCCACAAATCTCTTGCATCCTCACCTACAACTCAGGGTCTGCTTTCCAGGGTAGCAACTTGTAGCAAGTGGGGTCTGTTGTTCCCCAACTGAGGAACCACACAGTTGTCTTGGATCCAGACTTCAGATCTGAACAGTAGAAACCCAGCGTGTCTTACGCTTAAGTGACAGAGTCTTTCAGCGGCTTCTGTAACCCTGTGAATTAGAAGCAAGCACCCACTCCAAGGCATCAGAGCAAGGAAGATGCGCCCAGTGGGCCATCTGATCCCTGGGGCTACAAGATTAGAGGTATCTCTGAATCTCAGAGACAACCTGCTTCCTTTGCTCTATTTTTTTGACAATTAAAAAAGAAAAAAAAGTTGATATCCTCTTCAGTTGAGCACATCAACTGTAATGTAGGTGACAAAGAAAATACTTACCTTTTGGAAATAAGAACCTAGTTGGTTTTTCACAATGCAAGTGCCGCAAATACATATGGATGGTCTCTTACCTGAGACGCTCCTGGGGTTGGGGTTGCAACTGATCTGGGATTTGGGGCTAACTTCACGATCTCTGCGAAGGGCACGTCTGTTCCAGCTGCAAGGCCTAGAAGGGACCGCTCGCTTTGTATCAGTGTATATTGCAAATGAAGGTGTTACCCGGAAATAGCATTTTATCTCTGGAGTGAGAATATGTTCTAAAACTGGATTATGGTGACAGTTGTACAACTTAATAAAATGTTTGGTTTCTTTTTTCCCTTTATATTGGCTGTGCCGAGTCTTTGTTGCCGCACACGGGCGTCTCTTGTTGCAGAGTTCAGGCTCAGTTGCTCTGAGGCCTGCGGGATCTTAGTTAACCCATGTCTCACCCATGGATGGTGGATTCTTAACCACTGGACCACCAGGGACGTCCCACAACTTAGTAAAGTTACTAAAAAACGCTGAATTGTATAGTCAAGTATGGGTGATTTTTTTACATCATATAAATTGTACCTCCATAAAACCATCTTAAAAAAGGGGAGAAAGCGAAGACAAGTTTCGAGAGCAGCCCTCCTTCTCAGCAGGGCCTAGTTTGTCGGAAGTGCATGTTAGGAGGCAGCTAACCTCTGAGCTCTGACAGAGGGGAGGGTCTGCCTGCCTCCCCTCCCTCACATGAGTCCACTCTCCCCATCGCTCACTGCACTGCAGTCACCCCAGCTTCTCTCGGTTCCTTCTGCCCAGAGCCTTTTCACTGTGCAGAATGCTCCCTCTCTTTTCAAAGGCGCTGCCCCTAAGAACATCCCTACCGCCTGTCCGCTCTCCTCAGGGCGTGTCACACCACTGCCACAGGTTTAAGGGCTCTCCCTTCCTGAGACGGACGCCCCGAGAGGCCAGGCCTTGGTCTCCACTGGAGCCCCGGTGTCGAGCACACTGCCTGCGTCCAGGAGGCACTCAGTAAGGGCTCACCAAGCAAAGGAGAGACGGGGCTGGAAAGAGGGAAGGCGGCCGGAGGTGGGCAAGGGAAAAAGAGGAATTTCCAAGCAAATTAAGGAGCAGTATCAGACTGAAGGGAAACTCAGGACCAGGAGGGAAGGAGGGCCCACTCAAGATGGGAGGCCTGGTTCTCGTGCGGAATGCTGGAATGTCCCAGTCCAGAGCTGTGTGGATGAGGGGCCAGTGGATGGCGGGGTGGCCCCCAGAGAGACTTCTCCAAAGACTCTGGTCCCGCTCCACTTATGGCCTGGCTTTTGTCCCTAGACATAGCTGGAGAGAATGGGTGTGGACATAAAGTGGGAACTGGTGTTCCAGGACTTAGCTCAGGTTTTAGTTTTGCATGGCAGTACAGGGCAGTGTCCCCAGGTAATCTCTGGCAACTAAACAGGCACAGAAGGGAATTCCCTGGCTGTCCAGTGGTTAGCACTCAGCACTCTCATTGCCAGGGCTTGGTTCAATCCCTGGTCAGGGAACTAAGATCCCACAAGCCAAGCAGTGCAGGGGCGGGGGGAAAAAAACGATGGCATGGAAAAATAATAAAGAAAACAGTGCAGAACAGCAGTGGAGGCCCCAAAGAGCAGTTCCTTTCCTGTTTTGGCAGAAGGAGTATAAAGTGAACCCCAGTGAAGGCTGGAAGCTTATGGAATGGAGTTTTCAAAGTTCTGAGAAAAACATTTTAGAGCCCTTGGTCCAGCCCAGGTAGCATTCTTTGGGAGGGTGGACGTGTAAGCCCTCAGAAAACTATCACCTACTGGATTTTTTTCTTAAAAATGTATTCAGGCTGTATATTCTAACAAAACTAGCATAGAAATGAAGAAGGAAAAAGACTGAAGGGAGTCACCAAAAAACAGGAAACAAAGACAAACTCAAAGTGTAGATAAAGTCAACAGGATGTAAAGTTTGATTAAAAACAAGAGTCTAGAGATAAATTGCCCGATGATCTCTATATGGAGGTGGCACCACATGGGATGAGGAAGACGGGGGAGGGAAGGGAATGAAAGAGTAACAGTTTATTAAGAGGAGGCTATGCTCCCTGATTGATTCTCAATGTTCAAAGAAAAAAATACAAGGTTAAATAAGTGTGTTAAGAAGTTAAGGATAAATGTGTGAAGAATGGAACGGCCAGAGGGAAAGGACACAGCCCTGGAGGTACGTGGGTGGGCAACCTGAGCAGGCAGAGGCTATGGCAAATGGACCACATGGGTGAAACAACATCCCTGTGGGCCTTTGCTGCTCCCCTAGTCTCTGCGACGCCTCTGTCAGAGCCATGGTCCCCCCGTGGAGCTGTCCAGGGTCCTGGACTGCTTGGCTCTGAAGCGTTCACTTTTGTGTCCATTTCCTGCTCTTGTTGAAAAGACGGCTCTGGGCATCATCTACCCCTCCTACCTACCCGCTGTCCAGACTCAGACCAAGTGCCCTCAACCAATGCCTGGGCAGGCTTGTTTAGTTAGGACTGTGCCTCTCTTTTCCAGTTTAAGTAAAAAATAAAGGCATAGAGGGCTTGGGAGGGGAGAAAAGTGAAGCCCGCCATGTTCCTGAAGACTGAGAACATCCCAATCTCCCCTTTCCACTGTCCTCAGCCCAGCCAGTGCCCCAACCGCTTCCAGAGGTGTCTGCCCCCATCCATCCACCTACCATGGAAAGCTCGGTAAGCGGAGCCCACACAGGCAGAGTTGGCGGTGTCTATGACGTACACGGGTGCACCAAACACATCTGCAAGCACCTGGAAAGGACAGAGGTTCTTACTGTGGTGAGTCATTCCTTAGAGGGGCTGTGGACACAGACTTCAATTTTCCAGGCTCTCTTTTCTCATGCCTTCTGATACCTTCGATTCCACCTCTTCCGCCTTAAAGGATGTACATTTGACCATGCCTGCCACCCTGGTGATCCCAGGGTCAGGGTGACCTGGGAGAGGTCTCCATTGGAGGGCCTAGGACCTCCAGGTTGGCCCTGCACTGTTTAGCCATTTTATCAAAGACAAGGAGGAAGTTTTAGACTGGACGCTTAGCAAACAGCCAAGGTGGAGATGGCTAGGTCTCTTGACTATTACTAACAAGATCAGACAAACCCAAACTAACAAGAGCAGGTCTTATAGGGATAAACATAAAGCTTTCCATGTAAGTCCCCCAGATAAACTGTGTTAGTTTAGAATAGAGGACCTGTACTAAGAGGAGCTCATGTGGAAAAGACTTGAGGTTCTTAATTCATGAGAGATATTGGAGATGTGCTTCCCTAGGGGCTCAGCAGTAAAAAAAAAAAAAAAAAAAATCCGCCTGCAATGGAGGAGACACGGGTTTGATCCCTGGGTCAGGAAGATCTCCTGGAGAAGGAAATGGCAACCCACTCCAATATTCTTGCCATGGGAAATTCTATGGACAGAAGAGCCTGGCAGCCTACAGTCCATGGGGTCACAAAAGGGTGGGGCACGACTTGGCAACTAAATGACAGAACTGTTGATGTCCCATCCAGATCCCCTAACTGGGCTGGCGTGCACCCTCACCCACATGTCGTGAGTATTGGCTAACAGTTCACAACTGCCTCTCAAAAGAATTGCTCTTGGGACTGCACATGCTCAAAAATGCAGAGAGTGAGGCTGAACAGAAGGGCTTAGATGCAGATTCTCTGGTCAGTGAATACATCCAGGTGAACAAAGCCCCCAAAATGGGGCACAGGACTTACAGATCTCACGGTCAGATCAACCTGTACATGAGCTCTCCTTGACACATTGAGGCAATTCTTACTGAAAAAGAACAGATTGCTCCTAAACCAGAAGAGGAGGTTGCACAAAAGAAAAAGATATTCCAGAAGAAATGGAAGAAACAAAAACTTATGGCCCTGGAATAAACACTGCAAAAAATAAATGCAAGTAAAAGTGAAAAAAAAAAAAAATTGCTCTTGGAACTCCCCTGGCAGTCCAGTGGTTAAGACTCTGTGCCTTCCAATGCAGGGAGTGCAGGTTTAATCCCTGGTCAGGGAACAAGGATCCCACATGCCGCAGGGCACAGTCAAAAAATAAAGAAAAATTTTAAAAATTGCTCTTGGCTGAACAGAGGCTCCCTCTCACGGGAAGTTATTCTCACCTCTTCCCATGGTAGCTAGTTGCCCCCTTACTCCAAGGTGGAGCCAAGTCTGCAGCATAGTTCATGTGCCTCATCTCCACATGGGATGGAGCTGAAGCTGACTCCAGCCAGAACCACATCCTTGCTTATCCTTCTTCCCCTGCCCTGCCCGCTTCCCTCACTCCCTTTCTCCTGGGAGCACTCTCCCAACAAATCACTTCTAGAAGAATGCCCATCTCAGGCTCTGCTTCTAGAGAACCTTACCTAAGGCAAGTATGTTACACGTCAACAGTCAATACCCTTACTCAAACAGCGAAGGCAGCCTCAGGCTGTATCTAAAACTGCTCAGTGTCCCAGTAAGACACTGGACAGCTCCATGATGTGACGGCCTGACTGTCAGATATCTGCAGGTTGACTCCACTTTGGGTCATGTATTTCCAACACAATGAAGGACCAGAAAGACAGTGACAAAGTCTGGCAACTGAATAACAAGAGGAATGGCTGGGAGAATCAAAGACGTTTAAATTGGAAGGGGGAAACCTTAAGGAAGACAAGAACAGTGGCCTTAGATGTCAGAAGATCTGCCGTGAAAGACAGGCATTTTCTGTGTGACTTCAGAGGCCGATGCTGGGATCAGAGAGTGGAGCTGGACAGGGCAACGGATTTCATTTGATTGTAAGATTGAACCTGTTCTCCTTGTGAGCTGTAAAGAGCTGGCTTCCTGGGAGAAAATGAGCTGTAAGCTCCCCATCTCTGCAGGAGTGGGAACAGGGGCAGTATTACTGCTGAGTCTCTTGCTCTTAGAAGTATTAGACATGGAAGAGGCCCTAGTGCGGAGCTTGCTACCAGCACTCACCTGTAGCATGTCTCTGTTGTGAGATGCTCCTCCAGTAGCCAAAATCTTTGTCTTGGGCACTGTAAGGGAAAACAAAAAACAAAACAAAAAAATGGCCGTGACAATCCCCCCAAGGCAGAAAAGGCTGTTTTTCAGAGTTCTTCTGCCACAAAAGGCTGGTGTCAGGTCAATGCCTCTTGCTTGTCACACGGGGCTTGGGGGGAGATCTGAAGCTGGCTCTATCCATGTGGACTTGTCATATAAAATCTGCTTGTGAGGCCACTGCCTCACCCACCTCTTGGGGATGCAACTAAAGAGGGTTCACAGGATGGTTCTAAGGTTCTGGCCATGTTGCATTTCTTTTTTTTAATGTCAATTGTTTCACAGTAATACAGGGACAGAGGTTTTGTTTTCTTTACCTTTTCAAAATTATTTATTTCTTTATGTCTGGCTGTGCTAGGCCTTTGCTGCTGCTCGGGTTTCTCTCTAGCTGTGGGGCGAGGGCTTCTCATCGCAGTGGTTTCACCTGCCGTGCAGCGTGGGCTATAGGGCATGCAGGCTCCAGTGGGTGCGGCGCACGAGCTCATAGTCAACCCGGAATCGAACCCATGTCTCCTGCATTGCCAGGTGGATCATTCACCGCTGAGCCACCAGGGAAGCCCCAGTGCTGTATTTCTTAACCAGAGTGTTCAATGAACCGGTGTTTGATTTTTTAATCTGTCTTTGCAGTTAGCTCTATGAAGCATATATTCCGCTGCATGCAAGATATTTTCCACAATAAAAAATAATAAACTGCCATCTAGTAAAAGACATATAGTTCCACTTCAGGTTAAAATGGAGATGGTCAAGACAGAACATCCCTTGTACTGTAACAATGAGAGACTGCTGAACCAAAAAAAAAAAAAGATATATATATATGTATACATATATATATTTAATGCTAACAAAAAGTGGTAAATGCAGGGGATTCTCCAGTGGACCAGTGGTCAGGACTTGGCACTTCCACTGGTAAGGACCTGGGTTCAACCCCTGGTCGGGAACTAAGATCCCACAAGCCATGCGGCATGCCTCCCTCCCCCATAAAAAAGTTGTAAATGGAAAGAAATGTAAATAAATTAAATTCTGGAATGAGATGAGCCCTTAAATGCTGACTTTGCCATACCTGTAGTACAAGATAGGTGATGTAGTGACCCTTGAGGCATCTAAACTGCCAGAAGAGATAACCCGCCAATCAATAGGTGGTGTTGGTATGAAAAAGGTGTCCCAAAGGCAGAGCTAGTCCTCCTCATCCCCCCCAGGGGCCGTCTAAGTGGTGATGTGGAAGCCAGGGGCAGGGCGGGAAAACAGAGAGAGAGAGCTCTGTAATCTCATAGTGCTTATATCCCTAATCTCCTGTGTCACAGGACTCTTTTACCACAAAAAGGCATGTATTTATTATGCAGGTATTTGAAAACAAATGTTATAAGCCCCTCTCAGCCTCCCGCATCTTCACCCTCTGGCCATGAAGAGAGTGCCTGGGCTGGGAAGAGGGGAAGGGATGACAGCCAGCTACGGAAACAATTCAGGATGCATGTTCCTGTGTGATTCCATGTTGGAAAAGCAAAACATACTCCATTCACGACTGCAAGAGGGGTCAGCTGGGTGTGATGTAAAGCACCACGAAGGCTTAGTAGAGTTTGGGTTTGTATGCACCCTTCGTAGGTAAAACAGGAACAGGACTCCAGCTTTATAAGAATATGCTCATAAAGGGGACTGAAAGTGCTCCCAGACTGCACGACTGGTTAGGGAGAAGACATGGGATTATAGGTACTTTCCTCTCCTTTATTTTCAAAACTTGCTATTATACGGCTGCTTTTTAAAAAAAAAGTTTTTTGCTGCACCGCACAAGATGTGGGGTCCTAGCTCCCTAACCAAGTTTCAAACTCATGCCCCCTACCCTGGAAGCACAGTCTGAACCACTGGACCGCCAGGGAAGTCCCTATAAGGCTTTGTAGCTCTTATAAGTCAACCTAAACCAAATGAAATATACGTGGGAACGTAAGCTGAAAAGGAACCATGGCATTAGCCCCGCCCAGCCGGTGCCTCGGTCTCCTGGTGTCTAAGTATCAAGACAGGGATCATTCCTTAAAGAGAGCAGATGTAACCCAGTGGTTAAGAATCTAGAGTCTAGAACCAGACTGGCTTGGTTCAGAAGGCTCTGCCAGCCCGGAACAAGTGACACAACACCTTGAGTCTTGGTTTCCCACTTTGTGAAGGAGGAGTGATACCCACCCCAGAGATACTGCTGTTAGTAAAGATACAGTGCTTAGGAACCAGGCTGGGCACACAGTGGACACTCGGTAAATACTGACACCTGCTATCATCATGATCACCAGTCTTACTTCAGACGTCTTTCTATTCTTCTTAGATGTTATTAAAACGAGATTATGACTGTTCAATAAAGAAATGAGGGGGACCTCCCTGGCGGTCCAGTGGTTAGGACCAAGCACTTTCACTGCCAGGGCCTGGGTTCAATTCCTGGTCCGGGAACGAAGATCCTGCAAGCTGCTCAGTCGGGAACATGATGCCTGCAGTCCGTGCAGCCCTTGTGCCCTTTTAGGTTCCAGCGTGTTCATTCATGTGATCTTGTTTTGAGAGGAACTCAGCAGAGCTGGAAAGACAGGTTTGATTCGCCCACTTAAGCTTGCTAAGAGGATAAGTAACTTTACGCTGTTTGCACAGGAATCGCTTCAGAGGCTGGGAATGCTAACATGATCACACTAGTCCCCTGGAGCCCAGGAAGGCCTCTCCGCCCTCACTGCCTCTCCCTGCATATGGGGCCAGTGGGGACAGCCCCCAAAATGCCCCCTGCTGATGACCGGAGAACCCTTCCGGCCAGTCACTCATGTCCACCGCAGCACCGGCCCTGTCCTGCTCACCTGTGCTCACTTCTCAGGGAGCTTAGAGGCCTGTGAAGACCCTTGGGTAATTTCTTTTTACACTTTTGGTGGAAGAATAGACAGGAGTGGAACTCTTTATAAAAGTTCAGTTCAGTTCAGTCGCTTAGTTGTGTCCAACTCTTTGAGACCCCATGGACTGCAGCATACCAGGCCTCCCTGTCCATCGCCGACTCCTGGAGTTTACTCAAACTCACGTCCATTGAGTCAGTGATGCCATCCAACCATCTCATCCTCTGTCGTCCCCTTCTCCTCCTGTCCTCAATCTTTCCCANATATATATATATATATATATATGTATATATTTTCTTTTTAAAATAGGTTTGCTGTACTGGGTCTTCATTGCTGTGCAAAGGCTTTCTCCAGTTATGAGCAGGGGCTACTCCAGTCGCAGTGCTCAGGCTTGTTGCAATGGCTTCTCTTGTTGCAGAGCATGGGTTCTAGGCACGCGGGCTTCAGTAGTTGCGGCACGTGGATTCCAGAACTTAGGCTCAGTAATTGCGGCATATGGGCTTGGTTGCCCCTTGGCATGTGGGATCTTCCCAGACCAGGAATCGAACCAGCGTACCCTTCATTGCAAGGCAAGTTCTCAACCACTGGACACCAGGGAAGCCCTAAAAACAATATTTAAAAATTAAAAAAAATATGTTGCTGAACTGTATACATCCTAACAAATGCACAGATGCACCATGAGCTGACAGCCTGACATGTTTTCGACGGAAGACACCTGTATAACCTATGAAACAGAGCCTCACCAGCACCCCAGAGGCACCACGGCCCCCTGAAAGGTAACTACCAATCAACCAGGCTTCCAACGACAGCAGATACTTTTGTCTGCTTTTGAACCTGCTGTATGCGGAATCCATCACACATACTTTGGGGCTGGTTTCTCCTTCTCGGCGTTTTCATTTGTGAGACGCATCCATTTTGCTGGGCTTGGGTGAGGCTGATTTACCCTCATTTCTGCATAGGATCATGTCATCTGAACACTCCACGAGGCGCTGATCCCACCATCGACAGACCCTGGGTTGTTTCCAGCACAGGGTGTCGCGCACAGGGCCACGGGGCGTGGCCTCCCGCACGGCTCTAGTGGACACGTGTCCGCATCTCTGTCTTGCATCCACCGGGAAGTGAGGTTGCCAGGTGGGTGTGTACGCAGCTTTAGCAGATGCTGCCTAGCAGGTTTTTAAAAAGCTTTACCTAGCGCCTACTTTTAAAGTGTCCTTTTCACCTGACAGGTTCAAAGACATAAAATACACACCACATAGGACTTGGATTGTCGGTAGAAATATCATGAAGAGACCCTCAAGCTGAGAGGATTCCAGGGATTTCGACCTTCTCTTGACCACAGCTGCTGCCCAGAGGGATAAATACACCTCGGAAACCTGGACTCTGTGGTCGGCTGGTCCAATATCCTTCAGACTCCCCCAGACCACGCCAGCAACATCAGTAGGGGGAACTCACTGACCTCCTAAAGCTGCCCACTCCATCGCTCAGTTCCTGGAGTCCCTTCCTCCCCATGGGTCTCCCCCGGCCCTGGCTCTGTCCTCTCCACCGCAGGTCTCTCATTTCTGACAGCGGTTCTACATCCCTTCTCTTCCCTGTTCAAGCTGAAATGCCCAGAGCTGTGCCCCACAGGCAGACAGGGCGTGCCCAGAAGGTCAAGGTTCAGTGATGGCCCCAGCCCAGACCTTTACCACCTGCACTGCCTGCGTCCTCAGGATCCCGAGCTTAGGACATTTCGTCTGCAGGATGGAGCTGAGGGTTACAGAAAGATCTCTCAAGTCCTACAGTTCCTGGCCAGGAGATGAGGCTACTGGTGACAGAGCAGAGAGGCAGGAACAACCCACCTCCTAGTCTAAGCCTGCCCACAGGGCCCGTCCACCTCATCCCACCACCAGGTCCGGGCCCTATTTCCCTCCTGCAAAAACAAGGCCCCCGTGATGGAGCCTTCAGAGTGTCCACGAGGCCTGGTCTGAAGGCAGAAAGGGTCTCAAGCACCTTGGTGTGTGAGCAGGATCCCTGGACCCCGCTCCAGAACACAGCCCACCAGCATCTCACTTACTGACTCGATAGCCCAGCGCCTCTGCATGAATCTTCTTGGCCATGAACTGTCCCTCGATCAGTGCTCGAATCTCCACATCCCGGGGGAATGCCGAGACCTGTCTCCAGGAGAAAGTGGACAGAGTGAAGAGCTCGCATTGTCCACCCACTCTGCATATGTGTCTGTGTGTGTGTGTAGTATGTATGTGTCTGTGTGTGTGTGTGTGTGGTATGTATCTGTGTGTCTGTGTGTGTGTGTGCGTGGTATGTATCTGTGTGTGTGTGTGTGTGCATGGTATGTATCTGTGTGTCTCTGTGTCTCTGTGTGTGTGTGTGTGTGCGTGGTATGTATCTGTGTGTCTCTCTGTGTATGTGTGTGCATGGTATGTATCTGTGTGTCTGTGTGTCTGTGTGTGTGTGCATGGTATGTATGTGTGTGTCTCTGTGTGTGTGTGTGCGTGGTATGTATCTGTGTGTCTGTGTGTGTGTGTGTGTGTGTGTGCATGGTATGTATCTGTGTGTCTGTGTGTGTGTGTGTGTGTGTGTGTGTGTGTGTGTGTGGTGTGTTTTTAAACAAAAGCCCAGATCTGGCGCTCATGAGAGGCCTCCACTGGAGCTCACCCATAGTGGTGCTCTTGAACCACTGACTTTGCCTGTCTCACACACACACACACACACGCTCATGGCCTCACTCATGTGTCACCGTGGGGAGTCAGAGCACGGCAGAGCTCAGGCTCAGTCTGTATGGGATTAATCTCCAGCTTATGGGATTAGCAGATACAAACTACTGTACATAAAATAGATAAGTAACAAGGATTTATTGTAGAGCACAGGGAATCATATTCAATATCATGTAAGAACCTATAAAATATATACAGGTTACATATTTTTTCAGAATATAATTTGAAGAAAAACTGAATCGCTGTGCTGCACATCTGAAACTCACACAATATTACAAATCAACTATACCTCGAATCAAAAATTTTTTTCAAGTGTTTGTTTTATCACTGGCTGAGTAAATGAATGAGGTCCCTAAAGCTAGCATAATTTCATAGGTATTTTTTAAAATTTAATAGTCATAAATGGAGCCAACATAGCTCCAGCTGACCAATAACATACACACCTCATGGTTTTCTGCACTAAACCTATGGCGCCCGATAATTTCTGGGGTGATTTCCATGACATCAAAATAAAAACCTGAAACAAGACCAGGATAAGATTAGCTATCAGTGATCAAAAATAAAAGATCAGCTTCTCAACAGCGTTGGGAAAAAAGCAGGGTGAAATGACCCTATGTCCCTGTTCCCTGGGCCTCCCATTCCCTGGAGGAGACCCGTGAATATTCCAAGGTCCTTCTCTCCAGCAAAACAGAGCGCAACTGGAAAGGCCTAGGCTAGCTCTTCATGGAGACACTTCTTCCTACACTCATCTGGCAGCCCAAGCCAGGAGGCAGCTAGCTGTCCAACTAACCCTAGAATGCCAGCACGGGTTTGACCCAGGGAGGCACGTTCCCTCCCTGCTCAGATGGCCTGCCCCAGCGCGGGGCACTTTTCCCAACAGGACCTCGTGTCTGGGGCGGATGTGGGTATATGGGGAGGCACTGGGGCAGAGCAGACACGACGGCTGCCGCCTCTGATGCTGTCGCTGGGAGCTTCCAGGGCACAGAAGATGCAGCTCCGGCCTGGCCTGCCGCTCCCCACTCACTCAGATCGGGGGGCTCCCACAGGAGTTTTAGGGCCCATGGAGCAGAAGTGGAGACAGTCAGGGGTCCCCTTGGCTCCTCCCCGGCCCTGACCTTCCCGGGCAACTGTTCCCCTCACAGGCCCCCTCAGCGGCCTACCCAGGTTTCCGCCGTTCCCCATCTCCGTGGACTGCAGCGCCTTGGAGAACTCGCTCCAGGAACCTGAAGCAGACTCATCCCGGATCTTCTCTCTCATCAGGGAGCCATTTTTAAAGCTGCAGAAGTACACACACAACCCTGAGGGAGGGCTAGGCGCGTTTTGAGTGGACCCACAGACTTTGGGGAAGAGTCCCAGGTAGAGGGGCCGCAGGTCAGGCTGGACCCCACCCCAGCCAGTGCGCAGCAGGGATCTGAGGTTCCGCCTCCTGTAGCAAGCCCAGGGCACCTCCCCAGGAGTCACCAGAAAATGCACTTTTCCTGGGGGCTCTGTTTACAGAGGAGGTTACCAGGAAAGAGTCCCAAGGAGAGATAGAGCTGTGGTTTCAGCACATTGTAATCTCTGGACAATGGGCAGAACTGGCCAGATTTACTAGACCTACATACTCTCCAGGGGTTCCTGGAGCTTAAAGGCTAAAAACCTTCCCTTGGTAGCTTCCAGCAGATTGCCAAATGCCTGTTTGGAAGGTGCAGAACAGACCCGTTTCATGAGAACTGTCAGGAGGCAGGATGTCCTTACTACCATTGGTTGAAGGTCCACCATGTGCCAGATACATCGTAACATCACTATAGAGTAAACCTCTTGTTCCTCCCATTTTATGGGCAAAGTGTGGCTAAGATATGCTCTGGGGTCTGCCTCAGGCCACACACAATACAGGTGTTGGGGATGGAGTTTGTACCTGGGCTTGGGACAGACTTCAGGTCCTGGGTGCTTCCCCGCACCCCAGCCCCGCACCAATTCTGCTCTCACCAAGACCCAATGAGTCCCTAGGGTCTCAGGTGCCCCTAGAGCCTGCTCAGTGGAATGCCCCGGGGGGCTCCATATGGTGCCAACCCTGCCCACACCTCCTCCCCCACACCCAGCCTACCACAGGAGCGCCATGTAGTGCTGGGGGTCAACCGGGTTGCAGAAGATGTGGCCTTCCAGGGCGGGCGTGGGATCCTGGAGCCAGAGGAACAGCGTGTCGCTGGTGCCCAGGCTGACCTGGAGAGAGACAGGCAGAAGTGAGGCGGCTCTGTCTCTGCCACTCCAGCAGAGACGCCCTGACCCCCTCCTCGCTTCACTGTCAAGGCTGCAGAACCTCAGATTAAACACCATTTCTTCAGAGAAACCTCTGCTGACCCTCCCACGCCAAAATCCAAAGTCAGCTCCCCAAATTCGAGCTAGCACGAATTCAGCAGGCTGTTTTTCTAGAACTTACTACAACGACCTCTAAGTCATGGATAGGGTGACGACTGGTTTCCCACTAGAAGCAGAAGGGTCTGGGTTATGTCTTTATCGCCTGGAGGGCTCAGAGTCCTCTGGCCCGAGGTCTGAGCCTTCTGCCACTGTGCTCACTGTTAAGGTAGGCAGGGGACCTGTCTACTCAGCACAGGCAACTGACCTTCTAAGAGAGGAGCTGTGGGCAGGTCCTGGGGCCTGGGTCTCCCTCTCCCCTCCCTCGGCTGCCTTTTGACCCTGGATGCCCCACTGAGAGGATGCTGCTGACACCCAGTACCCTCATCCCCTGGGGCAGAAGGAGCTGACCCTGACTCTGGGAGGCAGAGGTCACCTTACCGCAATGTCACCTTCCTCCAGCCTCATGCCTGCCAGCGATGCTGAGAACGGGAGGGGAGCCTGTGGTTAGCTGGAGGTCGCAAGGGAGCCACTTAGCAAACCAGTCACTTCCCTCAGATAGAAGTGAAGCCCCCACCTCCAACCCCAGCCTACAAGCTGAGAGAGAGGCAGGAACAGGGTGAGATGAGGGCTAAGGATGCCCCAAAGGCCAGGAGGTGAGAGTTGGACCATATAGAAGGCTGAGCACCGAAGAACTGATGCTTTTGCACTGTAGTGTTGAAGAAGATTCTTGAGAGTCCCTTAGAGAGCAAGGAGATCAAACCAGTCAATTCTAAAAGAAATCAACCCTGAATATTCATTAGAAGGGCTGATGCTGAAGATGAAGCTCCAATACTTAGGTCACCTGATGCAAAGAACTGACTCACTGAAAAAGACCCTGATGCTGGGAAAGACTGAAGGCAGAAGGAGAAAAGGGCGATAGAGAATGAGATGGTTGGATGGCATCACTGATTCAACAGACATGAACATGGGCAAACTCCAGGAGATAGGGAGGGACGGGGAGGCCTGGTGTGCCGCAGTCCATGGGCTCACAAAAAGTCAGACTGAGGGACTGAAGACAACAACAAAGGCCAGAGGGTGGGGTTTCTGTGCTCCAGGTCTCTGATTTGGGCTCAGAAGCTGCATCTAGTGGGATCCACACTCCCCACCCACTGTTAGGATACACGAGGCCGAAAAAGACAAAGGCCAGAGTATGGGGCTTTCCCCCACCTCAGTTGGGAAGGAAAGGGCAAGGTTATGTTGACTGTTCCCTTTGACATGAGGCCCATGACAGCTTGTTTATCTGCCTTGCTCACTGATACACCAGCGTGTCAGAGCTCTGGACCCAGGAATCCCACCTCGAAGAGCTTATCCTGCAGGGACAAGGGACAGGACAATGTCTGCACTGTCTAAATGCTAGAAGCCACTCCTATCTCACCTCCCACTTCCATCCGAGGGAGACTGGCAAAGTAAATGCCAGGACAGTGGAACCCGAGACAACCACGAATGAAGTTCACAAAAATCCTACCTTGGTTGATTAAAATGTGTATTTATGGGCACAGAAAAAGAAAGTTAGAAGGACTAGTCCTCAAAATTTTAACTGTGGTTATCTCTGGATTAAGGGATCATGGATGATTTTTTTACATTCTTCCTTTGGTCTGTCAGTACTTAAAATTTGTTTCTGCAACTAAGAGGAATCCCTTGTATATAAGAAAAAAGCGTAAGACTAACACATTATTTAAGGTGGCAGGAAAGTGAAGGTCAGACTTAGGGAGGGACTGGCTGAGGGCTACCTGCCTGGTACTTCCAACATTAAGCCTGAAAGCAAAGCCCCAAAGGAAGGTTTAAAAAGTTGCTTCTTTGTCATTTCCTCTCAAACATGCCCAGAAACTCACGCTTCAGTGGTAAAAAAAAGCAGGCCCATTATTTTCCCTGACATTCTTCTAGTTGATAGAGTAGGCATAAGAATATACATTTTTCTAGAAAGACTCATGGTTACCAAACGGGGAAGGGGAGAGGGGATAAATTAGGAGGTTGGAATTAACATACACACATCAATATACATAAAATAGACAACCAACAAGGAAGCACAGGGAACTCTACTTAAGACCCTGTAATAACCTATATGGGAAAAGACTATGAAAAAGATATATGTCTATGTATAACTAATTCACTTTGCTGGACATCTGAAAGTAACACACACTGTAAACAAACTATATCCCAATATGAAAATATATATAGATATATTTTCTCCTAATGAGACTTAATGGAGTTATTTTCATTTTTAAAATAAAACAAACCTGGACCACAAAGTGTAGGACTGCCCTTTTCTGAGGGAGCCTGGACCCCTCAACTTTTAGGGTAGATAGGAACTGGGGGCCTGGCATCCCCCGGGAAGCCTGGGCACCAGAACACGCCCATCGCAGCCCAGAGCTGCCTCTCAAATCAGGTGCCAGGAGGATGGGCTTCACACCTCGGTGCTGCAGGAACTGGGCCAATGTCCACCAGCCTCCATCTCACCTCATCTTAGGCCCCTAAGGAACACAGGGGGCCCCTCCCCAAAATCTGCTCTGTGTCTGGGTTTGTGCCTTGACAACAGGGCTCCGTGCAAAGGGCTACGGAATCTGCTCAGGGACAGAGTGGCCCTCGGCTGGCTCCTGGGGGCTCCCTGAAGATGCCAGTGGTGGTCACCCTAGAAGCGGGGGGACACAGCCAGGACACTGATGCAACCTCACGGTAGCAGGGACATGCTCACGTGCCCCCAGCTCCAAAGCAGACGGGCCTAGAGCAGACCTCGGAGCACGAGTGTTATTTATATTGGGGACAGAAATAGTAGTAATGGCAACTTCACTGTTTTTTTCTCCTGGTCACAAAAGTACACATAGATACTGCAGGAAATACAGAATTTAATATCATCATTATGATGAAGGGCTTCCCAGGTGGCGCTAGCGGTAAAGAATCCACCTGCCAACGCAGGAGACGTGAGACACGGGTTCAGCCCCTGTGTTGGGAAGATCCCCTGTAAGAGGAAATGGCAACCCACTCCAGTATTCATGCCTGGAGAATTCCATGGACAGAAGAGCCTGGCGGGCTACAGTCCAGAGCGTCACAAAGAGTCAGAGACAACTGAAGCGACTTAACATACAACACATTGTGACGATGAGTACATTTTAACAAGACCTTCAGCTCCATTCTTAGGGACACAGCACCAGTCCTAAGCACAGGTGCCTCTTTTTATTTTATTTTTGCCATCCACATCCTCATCTGCATAACCAGTAGGAGGTAAGTGCAGGGAGGCTGTGGGTGTGAAAGCCAGGGGACAGGCTGAAGCCAGACCCCAGCCTCCACCCACAAAGCAGCCCAAATCCTTTCATACGCACCTCAGGCGCGCTTTCTTAGAGCAGGAATGGCTGCATAGGGTGGCGATTTGGCATAGAGTTGCCAGATAAAATACAGGGCACTCAGTCACATTTCAATTTCAGAGAAATAATACTTGGAACACACACTGAGAAAGCATTTGTTTTCTGAAGTTCAAATAATGCCTGGGACACACTTATCCTACCTCATCATTTGACCTTCCTCTGAATTCACGTTGGTATTGTATTTGCATTTATTCTATTTGTGTTTACTCTATCCATCAACCCTGATTTGGTGGCTCATTAGGAAAAGGGCTGCAGGGGTGTGGTGAGGGGCTGCAGTCTGTGGCCACTTGAGCTTCCTTGAGAGACCTGTCGGGAAACTCCAGAGAAGAGAAGGAGAAGAGGAGACAAGAGGCTTCGATGAGGAGTAAGCCGTACCTACATCACCAACTCAACAGACATGAGTTTGAGCAAGCTCTGGGAGATGGTGAAGGACAGGGAAGCCTGGAGTGCTGCAGTCCACGGCATCACAGAGTCAGACATGAATGAGCGACTAAGCAACAATAGGTCAAAAAAGGGGTCAGAGTCTTAACGCTGGGTACTGGAGGAAGAGGTGGAGGAACTGAGATGCTTACTCTGGAACAGAAAAGGCAGGTCAGGGAGGGCGGGCTTGACTGTCTTCCTCCACTGATCAATTCTCACCTCGCTGGGCAGCCCTGGGTGGGTCTTGTGGGTGCGGCCAGGGCCAAGGTGGGGCAGGTACAAGGAGGCAGAGTTCAGGCCAGCAAGGGGGCAGGTGGCCACGGAGAAAGGGGCTGCCAGACAGGCTTCCCCAGGAGGTTGGCTGGCATTCGCCAGTGTCCAGCAAGGACCAAGGCAGGCTTCTGGGGGGGTGAAGTCCCAAGAGGTACTCACCTGGGTTGTCCCCAGTGAAGGCCACCACTTTGCATCCTGGAGGAAACCCATAGCGCTGGACAAAGTAGGAAGAGATGGCCCCCTGAGGAGAGAAAGCAAGTGCGTTCTGTAGAAGCAAATCCCACCTGCTTGGCACAGCTGCCCACCCTTCAGGCTACGGGAAAGCAACAGGCCTGGGCAAGGCCAAGAGGCTCATCACAGCCAGGACGTCCTGTTCACAGAACACCAGCGGAGCCCAGCGCGGGGCTGGGACCATGAACATGAAGTTGTCCCACTGCCTCAAGGCACGCTTGCTTGATTTTGAGTCAAGGCAGCTAGAACAAAACAGTCGCCAACGTGGGCTTGCTTTGTAAGCTCCAAATTCTGGCTGTTGCATTAAAAATAAACAAATGAGAGGAGAAAATCATTAAACAAACTCGTGGAAGTAGATAATGCCTTACACACATGCTCCACCAGCCCAGCAATCAGATCATGAGCAATCAGACATGCATGCATGGAGGCCAATGTTCTAAAGAAAATAAACCAAGGAAAGAAGGTGTGGGGGAGCAGTCTCCACCAGGAACCCAAGCTCTCAGGGCCCCTTTGAGCCTTGATCAGAGGGCAGGGATACCTTCTAGACAGACCTACAGTCTTTAGAAAGCATAGTTATGAAAAGAAAGCTCCCCCTCCCCCTGCCACCTTCAGCTTTCCCTGTCTTTCTCTTAGTTCCAAAAATTTTAAATGAATGATGCGATTTCTGGGACTTCCTTAGTGGTCCAGTGGTTAAGACTCTACCCTTCCACTGCAGGGGGCGTGAGTTCGATCTCCGGTTGAGGAACTAAGGTTCCACATGCCCAGTGGCACAGCCAAAAAAATTTTTTTAAAAAGGGATTTCCCAGTGTCTGGGAAGACCATTTTGCTCCATTCAACAAAATTTCGGATTTCCATGAGAATAAAGCCTGGGAGGTAAATGTCTTGGCCTGGGTTGCCTCACAGAACAGAGTCTGAGTCAGGGCTTGTGCAGGTGGCTTATTTGGGGAAGTGACCCCAGGAAATGAGGGTGGGGGTTAAAAGAATGAAACGGAAGGGGTGAAAGCCCACCCAAGGGTACTCTGGGGAGCCGGAGCTGGCTGTGGGCAGCATTTGAGGCAGGCTGTCCTCTTGGGGGTGGGACAGGGAGCAGCTCGCCACAGCTCCTCGCAGGAGAAAGGTGTGTGTGGGGGGTTAACTCCCCGATCCTCCAGGCTGGCAGAGCACAGATGCAGAGTTCCAGAAGCCCCCAGGGCAGAAGAGGGAAATGAGCTCCAGCTCAGGCAGGCAGCTGCCAAGGGGACATGCGAGGCCGTGACTGCTGGCGGAAAAGGGGGGCTGGGAGGCTGCGAGGCGGAGGCATCACTACACGACATCTCCACAAACTTTCCTGCAGACAAGGAGAGGGAGCCATCTGGGCACCACCTTCAGAAAAAGAGATGACAGAAAACATGAGTTTTGCTTGTTTCCCCCCATCACGTGGGTACATATGCTCCAAACGAAAACACACTTTTCCAAATCAGTTCTTTTCTGCTCCTCAAGCTGCTCGTGTCTGCGCGAGGCCCCTCTCGGAGGCATGTGTTCTTGGTGGAAGGCAAACAAAACTGGCTGCTGTGGACAAAACACCGCTCTCCATCGACTGGAAACAAAGAGCCGTGTGCAATACCAGCCCCAGAGGCTGGGCTGTTTTCTCTTCGCCCTTCCTTCTTTCCTTCCTGCTTCTATGGGGCAGGACACCCTTAGCTCTGCGCGCTGGCTTCACGGCACCCTCTGTGAGACACGTGTGTGCTCGGTCACGTCTTGACTCTTTATGATCCCATGGTCATTCTATCCCAAGCAAGAATACTGGAGGGGGTTGCCATTTCCTCCTCCAGGGGATCATCTTGCCCCAGGGATCAAACCCATGTCTCCTGCATCGGCAGGCGGGTTCTCTACCACTGAGCCACCTGGAAGCCCACCCTCGGGATGATGACGACGATCTGGCTTTGACATTTCGCTCATGGTGGCAAAGGCTGTTTTCAGCTACTCACTGTTGATAGAAAAGTGTCTCCGTGGCTGGAACTGCCAACAGGAGGCACTCGTGGTAGCCTGGTTCTCCTCATGCCCTGGTCTCCCTCACAGCTAACGCTCTGCCCCACCCAGCGCTCCCACTTGTTCTGGGGTGGGGCAGGTGCTTCCCACCAAATGGCCGAGTGCAGGGCGCAGCCGAGAACTCAGCTGGCCAACTAGGAGAAACCAGAGCATGGACAGCCAGTGGCTATTCTGAATATAGGTGCCGATGGTCAAAGTTCTTTCACTGAATTGTTCCCTTTATCAGCTATGTATGCTTAGTTGCTCAGTCACGTCCGACTCTTTGAGACCCTGTGGACTGTAGCCTGCCAGGCTCCTCTGTCCATGGGATTCTCCAGGCAAGGATACTTTGGGTTGCCATGCCCTCCTCCTGGGGATCTTCCCCACCCAGGGACTGGACCCAGCTCTCCCACACTGCAGGTGGATTCTGTATCATCTGAGCCACCAGGGAAGCAGATACAGATTTTGCAAATATTTTCTCCCAGTTGGTAGGTTGCCTTTTCACTTTGTTAATGGCTTCCTTTGCTGTGCACAAGCTTTTTATGTTGCGGTAGTTATATTTGTTGAGTTCGCTTTAGTTGCCTCTGCTTTTAGGTTTTTTTTCTTAATATTTATCAGTCTATGCCAAGTGTTAGTTGTAGCACGCTGGATCTTCAATCTTCATTTTGGTGGCATGCAAACTCTTAGCTGTGGCAGGTGGGATGTGGTTCCCTGACCAGGTTTGAAGCTGGGCCCCCTTCATTGGGAATGTGCCATCTTAGCCACGGGACCACCATGGGAAGTCCCCTGCTTTGCCACGAGGCAGGAATCTGCAACTGGGCCTCAGCACCTGAGTGCAAGGCAGGGATCCAGACATTTTTCTCTGACTCATGTCAACTACTTATCTTGTACTAGACAAAGTCCCATGTGTGCGTGCCCTTGTGTAAATGGATGGATGTGTGTGTGGGGGGTGGTGGGTGCGTCTGTGTACTATACCACTTCCCCAGCAGCAAACCAGCTCCCCGGTGAGCCTCACCGCCGGGCAGGGGACCTACCACAACGGAGCAGGATGGCACCGGCCGGCCAAGCTTCTCCTCTAAGCGAGGTGCGCAGGCTCCAAGGCAAGCCTGTGACCAGACTTTGTCCTGAATCTGCAGCAAATTCATTCCAGAACCTAAGGAAGGAAGGATACAAGAAGGAAAGCAAAGAAATTTTTTTTAATGTGTCCTTTCTTCATTTTTTTCCCAATTTCTGGGCCACACCTTATGGCATGAGGGGCCTTAGTTCTTCAGCTAAGGAGCAAACCCGCGCTCCCTCTATTGGCAGCGTGGAGTCTTAACCACTGGACTGCCAGGGAAGTTCCAAGAGAAATCTTTAAAAAAAACTTTTGTAAAAATGCACAAATCTAGCCAAGAGTGGATCATTCTCACGGCAAACCTGTACCTGGAGCTCTTCCCTGATGGAATGTATACAACGGCTCTGGGTCACTCTGCAGGGGGCCTCTGGTTCTCTAAGACCTGGCCGGGGGAGGGCAGCTCCCAGCAGCAGCATCTAGGATGGCTCTGAGTATCCCCTGGGGTTCAAGGCTCTGAGGCAGCCCTGGCACTGATGTGGGATTTCTCAATCGCATCTAACCTTTCGGGGGATGTTCTCATGTGCCTCTAAACTTCCTCATATTCATCACTAAGATCAGCTATGTGTGTGTGGAAAGTCACTCTGTCGTATCTGACTCTTTGCGATCCCAGGGACTGTAGCCTGCCAGGCTCTTCTGTCCATAGAATTCTCCAGGCAAGAAGACTGGAGTGGGGAGCCATACCATTCTCCAGGGGAACTTCCTGACCCAGGGATCGAACCCAGGTCGGTCTCCTGCACTGCGGGCAGATTCTTTACCTTTGAGCCAACAGGGAAGCCCTGGTGATCAACTAACTCTTCCCTAAAATAATCTACTTCTCCTGAGGATGAAGAGTGGGGAGAATCCAGAGCACAGGTGGACGGCCCTCTTCCTGGGGTCCAGGAGGAGGCAGACCAGCGGGCTGGGTGCTGCTGGAGCCCTGTCCCTATGTGAGATGGTTAGACAACTGGTAAATTAGTAGGTGACTTCCAAGGCAACAGCGAGGGGAATGGGCGGAGCTCAGTAATGTCCAGAGCAGTGATGGAACTTTCTGCAGCAGCGCTCAGCAGCCCTGCTGAGTGTGGAGAACACTGGTGGGAACAGGCTGCTCCACGTGTAGCACTCTGCTGGCCTGAGCTCCAAGGAGCTGGGCTTCTGTGCAGGAGGAAGCTTTTCTTCTCCAGATTGTGAGCAAAGCTTGGGGACCACTCCTTAGTCACTTCACTCTCTCTCCTTGCAAACTAAACTAGTGTCTGGCACACGACACGCTCAGACACTTCAGCTGAACTCCCAGAGACTCAGAGTGTCCCAAGGGTCTCCTGAGGTCACTCTCGCAGGCCTGGGCTCTTGCTCTGCCTCCTTGGGCCCTCCTTCCGCTCTAGCCTCAACCCAGAGCTCCTTCAGCAAGCTCCTCCCAGCTCTCCTTCCTCACTGGCATCACCTGCATTTATTTTTGTCAGGGTTTTGATTCCAGAAGCTCATCACTCTCCTGAGTTCTCCAAATGTGAACAAGAACTTCAAAATATAACTTCTGAGGGAGCCAGGCTCCAAGACGGTGCCTGGTCATCCCCCAGCCCTAGTGTTCACACCATTTGTGGTCCCTTCTTCTGGTACCCAGAGGTCTGTGTGACCAGAGACAGGGGGAGAGTGACCTACGTCACTCCCAAGATTAGCGTGTGAAAGACTGCAGCTTCGGCTTGGCTGCTGTCTCTCTAACCCTTCCCTTGGGATGAAATCTAGTTCCCAAATGGTGGTGTTGGGGGGGTTAGGACAAGAACTGAGACCTCCGGCCAACAGCCACGTGTGTGGCCTGGAAGTGGATCCTCCAACCCCAGTGGAGCCTTTAGGTGACCACAATGCTGGAGGCCAGCTTGACTGCCACTTCCTCAGAGACCCAGAGCCAGAAGCATCCAGTCAAGCCACTCCCTGATTCCTGACCTTCAGAAACTCTGTGAGATAATAAGCATTGATGGCCCTCAGCTGCAAAGCACTGGGGTCATTTGTTACCCGCAAAAGCTGACTAACACACTCCCTTCCTGGCAACAGACAGGAGGGATGGAAGACTGGACAAGGCTCGCGCTGCCGCGCACCTGCTGGACAGGCCCAGCCCTGGACGCTGAAGACTCACCATCACTATAGTCCACAGGGGAGTAAGACCCAAGGAAGAGAGAAGCAGCGAAACTGCTGACCAAGGAAATCCTCTGCGAAAGAGAAAGATACAGGGAGATTTACGGCTCACTTTCATGAGCAACTGACTGCTTGTGACGCACACACAACAGGACAAGAGCCTTAAGTTGGGGAGGGAAGTAGAAACTTGGAGCAAGATGCCCCAGCAGTGAGAGGACGGAGGATCCCTCATCTCGCAGAGCACTTTGAGTGGCTGGAACACCACACAGTGACTCCTTAGGAAAGCCCCTCGCTCCGCGGTTTCTGACAAGTCACAAAACAGCCAGGGTCACAACGACAGAGGGGAAAAAATGAGTTCCCTGGTGGTCTAGAGGTAAGGACTCCGGGCTTTCCCTGCTGGGGGCCTGGGTTCAATCCCTGGTCAGGGAACTAAGGATCCCACAAGCCTCGCAGTGCAGCCAAACAACAAAAACAAAACCCTATGAAGAAGCCAGGCTGAGGGAAGGCAGTTTTCACCGGAATCCATATGCTGGGGGGTGTGGTGCCCTGATTTCCTTCCTCCATTTCTATGGCCTTTATTCACAGAGGAAGTAGATGTATGGCCACAGAATTCAGAGCCAAGCAAGACCGTCTCAGGAGCTCAGAATGAGTAGAAGTGAAAGCCGTCCCCTTTGGAAGCCAGAGACCCCAAACATGAAAGGCAGGAACAGATGATTGATTTCAAATGTCACCTGGAGGGTCTGTCCAACATGGGAATCACAGGCACATGGACCAGCGCAGAGAATGCCATCACCTCCTGTTCACAATCGAGCCACCTCTTCTAAACACAGACTCTGGGGAATTTTTATCATCCCCTCCACTTCATTAATGGCTGACACTGCAGAATAATCTGGAACTTTGACTCACTAAATAGTAAACTGCATGTTAAGATTGAAAAAGCAGTATGGTTTAACACAAGCTGATCATTTTCTAATTACTTAGAGATGACTATCACTAGCCAGGCCATTGAGCTGCTCCTCAGGTTGCATTAAGTTCCAGCTTTCAGCAACTGTGGCTCAAGGAATGGAACCTGGGTTCCTGGGATACAGGTTCTGGTGTTGAAGGGCCACAGCTAGAGATACACTGGTCCAGGTTTACAAATTTCCTAAGAAAACAGAGACTCCAAGCCTATCAAGCGCCTATTAGGCATCCTGCATCAACGATAGGATACTAAGCCCAAAAGTAAAAGTGTTAGTCACTTAGTAGGGTCCAACCCTATGCAATCCCACGGACTATAGCCTACCAGTCTCCTCTGTCCATGGGATTCTCCAGGCAAGAATACTGGAGTGTGTTGTCATTTCCTTCTCCAGGGGAGCTTCCTGATCCAGGTATCAAACCCAGGTCTCCTGCACTGCAGGCAGATTCTTTACTGCCTGACGTACCAGGGAAGCCCAGGAAATTGAGGAGACAGAGATGAAGAGCACCCAGATCCACTCAGGTGGTCCCCGGAAGACACCAGGCCCCCTGCTCCCACTCTGACCCTGACCTCTACCCTCTGGTCAGGAGAGTCTCTGACTTTCCTTTCCTACAATTCCATTCTTTCCTTCCTCTTTGGAAAAAGCCTGACAATGAGAATAAAAGCAAATTGAATACATATCATTTTTAATGTCTGCTCATCAATGTTTTTAGCCCATGTACATGAGATGTGTATTTATGCAAATTACAGAAAGAATTCAACCCTGACTTGTAATCAAAGAGGAACATTTAACCAACCTCTGTGTGTGAGTAGGCCTCGGGGTTCTGCTGGTAAATCTTTGCAATCTGGTTTCCTGTAAATCGCTGGAAAAAGAGCGCAAGTGCTTAAAAACCCATATCCTATGGAGAATGATCAACTTCATAAACTACTCACAGAGTTAGCACAGCAGGCTCTGAATAAAAGCTTAAGAAGGTTTCTGAAATCTGGAAATGTGTGATGTCTGTTGAACACCCTTAGTAATAATCTCGCTTTTCACGTGGCAGGATGTCTGCTCTGACCCAAGGCGCCCATGCAGGGGACTCACGTATTTTCCTAACCCACAGCCTTCCTACTTCAGGTGGCCCAAATAGGGCCGGTCTTATCCCCAGAACCTCTACTCCAGGGAGGGTGGCACAATCCTGGCTGAGCCAACAGCAGCCACCCCGTGGGAGGGGGTGGGACCGCGGCTGAAGCTAACAGGAGAGAGGTACTCAATTTTTTTTTTTTTTACTTTCCCAGGAGCTGCACCAAGTGTCTGTAAACACTGACTCCTTTCAGCTTCAAAATTACCCAAAACGTAAGTGTTCCTTGTTTCTCCAAGTTAGAGAGGCTGAGATCGAGGCGCCATGGTCACCCACAGACACAGCTCAGCTCTGACCTGGGAGCAGCATTAGCAGGCCTGCCCTCGCTGGACGGGCAGTGCAGCGGGTCTAGCTCAGAACTGCAGGCCAGAGTGCCCGGGCCTGGCTCCACGGGGCAGCAGCCACACGGCCTCCCATGATGCCCACAGGGGCCGGTCACCAGCGTGTCCTCCCAGACCCCCAAGGAGAAGGGACCAGGGTAAGGCGCCCATGCAGGGGACTCACGTATTTTCCTAACCCACAGCCTTCCTACTTCAGGTGGCCCAAATAGGGCCGGTCTTATCCCCAGAACCTCTACTCCAGGGAGGGTGGCACAATCCTGGCTGAGCCAACAGCAGCCACCCCGTGGGAGGGGGTGGGACCGCGGCTGAAGCTAACAGGAGAGAGGTACTCAATTTTTTTTTTTTTTACTTTCCCAGGAGCTGCACCAAGTGTCTGTAAACACTGACTCCTTTCAGCTTCAAAATTACCCAAAACGTAAGTGTTCCTTGTTTCTCCAAGTTAGAGACGCTGAGATCGAGGCGCCATTGTCACCCACAGACACAGCTCAGCTCTGACCTGGGAGCAGCATTAGCAGGCCTGCCCTCGCTGGACGGGCAGTGCAGTGGGTCTAGCTCAGAACTGCAGGCCAGAGTGCCCGGGCCTGGCTCCACGGGGCAGCAGCCACACGGCCTCCCATGATGCCCACAGGGGCCGGTCACCAGCGTGTCCTCCCAGACCCCCAGGGAGAAGGGACCAGGGCTGGCAATCAGGTCTTCCTCCTAGCCCAGCCCCTGTCCCCAGATCACCTCGTAGGCGCGGGAGCCGGTGAGGCGGCTGAGAGCCCGGGCCCCGCCCACAGCGGCCTCCAGCTGGCGGCACTGGGCTGCAGTGCTGGAGTCCATCCACACCGGGCAGTCGCTGATGGAGAAACAGGCCTGGAAAGGAGCACAGGCGTGAGCTCCGCCTGCTGACCCTGGGGGCCACCCTGCCCAGCACAGCAGGTATGAAGGGGATGTCTCTTCCCTGGACGTGACCTTGGAAGACCCGTGGGTAAGCCATTCACGTCCAAACCTTGGTCTGGCCTGGGGGGGCGGGGGGGGTCGTTCCCCAGAAAGCTCTAGGTAGAAGGTTCTGGTGAGCATACTTGAGCACCATAGGCAACGCAAGAGACAGCAAGGGGGTGGCGGGGGGCCAGAGCTGCAGCCAAGGGCAGGCTGGCCGGGGCACGCGGAGCTTGGGAGAAGAGGAGAAGCCAGAGCCTGCCTGAGCAGCACCTGGGGAAGCACTAGGTCCCTGGGGGAGTTTTCTGAGCAGGGAGCTTGCCAGAGTCGTGCTGGACTGCAAGGGCCCCACGTGATGAGGGCGGTGAGCACCCGGGTCTTTGTCCTGACCACAGCGATGTGCATGGCAGGCCACGCTCACAGGACTGCTGTGCTCAGCCATCTTCCCACACCCCTGACGATGCCCCAAAGCCCGAGGCTTCAGGACCTACGGAGCTCGGGGCCCTTCTTCCCTACCACCTCCCACAGAAGTTTCTCAGCCTCCCACAAGCCGGCCATAGTCACCTGTAGCTGCTCACGCAGCGGAAGGTCCGGTGACAGGCGTGTCAGCACCTGGCCGGCCCCCGTCTTCCAGTACACGCTTCCATGTTGCTGCCAAGGGAAAACCCAAGCCCGTGTCAGCCTCCTGGAGACCGGGAGGACCCCAGACTACACGCCAAAGACCTGGACTCCTAGTCCGCCCTGGTACTTCTAAGTCACAGAGCTCATCACCTTTATGAGACTTGGTTTTCATTTCTATAATATGAGGAGGAACTCTGCCCTGTCCACCTCAAAACATGGAGGAACAAAGATTATGGGTCTAGATGTTGATGCTTTTGTAAAACTGTATTTAAATATATTGCTTAGAATATTATCTGACACGCACTCATTTATTCATTTACCATTACTCAGTCAACAAACGCTGACTGATCACCTAGATCACGCCAGGATGGAACAGATGGCTGGGTAGTACCACCCCTATTCTAAAGGATACTGGAGTTAAGTCAGGGAAAAAGACACAGTGGACAATTACAAAACTCTATTAAGGGATTTCCCCGGTGGTCCAGTGGGTAAGAATCCACCTTGCAATGCAGGGGACATGGGTTCGATCCCTGGTCAGGGAACCGAGATCCCACTTACCACGGAGCAACTAAGCCCATGGGCCACAGCTAGATAGTTTGCACTGCAACATAAGATCCCGTGTGCTACAACTCGGACGCAGCCAAAAAAACCCTATGAAGTGCAGTGGCAGGGCTGTGGAAACACAGGGGAGTCTAGCCAGCTGGGGGTATACGTGCGTAGAAGTGGATATGATGACTCGGAAAGGATCCCAGAGTTGGGTGCAGGGGTGCTCCATGAAGAGAGTAACTGCGGTTGAGAGCGGCTGGCATGTGCAGGGAAGGAATCTGAGGTTCGGGTGGGGGAAGAAGGGACTGGATGGGGAGGTGGCAGCCTACCCCTGGACATCCATGCTCGGGAGGCTGGGTTTTATCTTGGGCTGGTGAGGACTCTGGATGGCCAGAGAGAATGGATGAAAGGGCTTGTGAGAGTCCTGGAGAAGGCAGGCTGGAGGCAGGGAGGTGGAACAGAGGCCCAGAGTAACAGTGGGTACCAGGCCTGGGGCCACAGAGGTGGAGTTGGAGAAGAGTGGGAGATTCGGGAGTCAGGTACAAATGAGCAGGACTCGGGGACCCCTTGGAATGTGGGGGCAGGAGGATGGAGGAATCAAGGGCTGGGGCAGCTGGGGCAAGATGGAGCACTCAGGCAGAGAAATGGTAAGCTTGGGGTGTTCCTGGGATGCCTGGCCAAGGGGGCAGACGGGACGTGTGGCAGGGAGAGGGTGTCCAGGCTGGGGGTTCAGCCGAGGGATGCAGCCACGACCACCAGGGACTCTGCTCAGTGGAGCGAGGACACAATCAATACGCTTCTGTCAGGTCAGGGGAAGAAGAGGCACCTTCAGAAGAGCTGGTGAGCGCTCTCTAATGAGGGCTAAACCAGCATGGGGCAGAGTGACTGAGGATAACAATGGACTGGAATCCTCACTCCCCCTCCTAGCAGCTACGGGACCTTGGACAAGTGACATCACCTCTCGGTGCCTCCATTTCCCCATGTAAATGGCAATGATCATAAAAACAGTAGCTAAAACTTGGGGTTTTTCCCACACTGCCCTATCTATTTAACAGTCACATTGAGCTCGTGGCAGACTGGAGTATGGAAGCACCAGAAAGCTGGACAACGTGCCCCCGGTCACTGCTTGCAAATGGCAGAGCTAGGGATCAAACCTGGAGCCCCTGTGCTAACCACTGCACGATACCTCCTGGTACAACTGTTATGAAGACTGAGTGAGCGCAGGTAAAATGGTCAGCACCGCACCTGGCATACACTTGGCGTTCACTGTTCTTTGTCATTATTACACTGCTATCGTTATCAGCATGATTTCTGACTTCATTTTTACTTCCAGAAAAGAGAAAAGCCATTGTGTGCCCTCAAACAGTCATAATAAATTCATGTCAAAAGCTTCCTCCATCCCCTGGAGGACCTGGATCCAGTTCCTCCTCCCCCGGTGTCTTCTTCTGTACAACATTTAACTGTACGCACTGTCTCAGATCCTCTGTTTCATCCTCCAAGGTCAAACAGCTATACGGATTTTCTCTGCCTCGAAACACATGCAGTGACTCTCAAGAAAGTGCACCTTCCTTTGAGGGGAGCCATCACCTCAGCACCCACACCACTGCCCAAGACAGATGCCCCTAATGTTGCGGACAGAGGCTGAGCAAACAAACCTGGCCCGCCCCAGACAAGGCGAGGACTTGAGAGAAGTCAAAGCCCGAAGCCTTCATCTTCTCCAAGATGATGTCCAAAGCCTGAGAAGAAACACAGAATCCACCATGACTGTCCTGAACCACGGAACCAGGTAACGCACAAGCCTGGATTTTAAGTGCCTGCCCTGTCAGTGGAGATAAAGAAGGAACTGATGACTCAGGGTTTGGAAGCACTAGAGTACATCAATTAAATGAGTAGGCATCAACCAAATAAAAGGGTGAGCTATGCTAAAAATATTTTAAATAAATGGAATCAGAAACCAGCAATCCTCAAATTTTGCCTCTCCAATTGGTGACTTCCAAACATTCCGGAGGGCTTCTCAGGTGGCTCAGCGGTAAAGAATCCTCCTGTCAATGCAGGAGATGCCGGTTCAAGCCCTTGGGTTGGGAAGATCCCCTGGAGAAGGAAATGGCAACCCACTCCCATATTCTTCCCTGGAGAATCCCATGGACAGGGGAGCCTGGTGGGCTACTGTCCATGGGGTCGCAAAGAGTCAGACAGGACTGAGCATGCACGCAAGTATTCGGGAAGAGCCGAAACCAGATGGCTCAAATTTTTGTTTCTTTTATTTGCATTTTCAGTGCACCATATTACTGATATGACTTCAGTGCAATGGAGAAGCAAAGTTGAAGCTCCCATCAGAACAAGGCTTCAGAGACTTTCCTGGTGGTCCAGTGGCTAAGACTCTGAGCTCCCAGTGCAGGGGGCCCTGGGTTCAATCCCGGTCAGGGAACTAGATCCCCCATGCCATGCAGCACAGCTAAGCATCCGAGAACTGAAAAACCTGTGGGCAGAGGACATTCAGTTGCTACCTTTGTCTGACCTCCAGTTCCAGGGTCTCAGGTCCCCTGTGGTCAATGAGAGAGCCCTCGGCTCCTATCACACCGGCCTGTGCTGTCCACACCCTAGTCCTGTGGCCTCACAGGTAACCTGGATCTGGCAATAGGCATCTTGCTTCCTCACTGGTCCTGAGCGGGCAGGTCTGGCTTGGGACGGATCTAAGCCTGACTGGGCAGGTCACAAGTCACCATGCTGAGGGCCCCTGCCCCTGGAGTGGAAGGGTCTGGGTACTGAGCACTAAGCGAAGAGTGTAAGGGCCATGTCTGGATCTCAGGGTACAAGGGAGGACACAGGGCCTGAAAGCGAATGTCTGGGAGAGGTCTGCTCTATGGCATTTTAAAGGTGGCAGGACTTTCCATCTGCTCTGGTTTCAGCACCTGGAAGCCCTCTGTGTCTCCTCAGCTCAGGAGTCCTGACACCAGCGAAGACTGAGGCTGGCCCTGGACTGTGCAGATTCCACTTGCCCAGGAGGACCTGGTCTCAACAAGGGCTCTCATGAGCTGCCACCTTCAGGCTTCTGAGCAAATTTCCAAGTCTGCTGGTGAGACGGGCTGGGACAAGAGAGGGACAGGAATCCGTGGCTTACCTGGACCCACATCAGGACCGGAGAGGTCACTGTCAGGCCATCCTTGTGAACATGAACTCCACCCTGAGTCCTACAAGCAGAAGAGATAATGTGGGACAGAGCCTCAGGTGGGGGCCTGGCAGTGGCAGATCCTGGATCCCTCCCGCAGGAGAAACACCCCACCCCCAGCCTCGTGGGGGAACTGTAGATTGAACAGGGAAGATGACAGGCAAGGTGGAGAGAGAAGGCATGGAAATTGCGCAGTGTGGCTCAGAGGTGGCAATTCTCCAAAAGCACCAGCAAAAACAAGCCTTCTAAATATAAGGTGTTCACCCTGCAAGGCTGTCACTCGGAGCAGTGGGCATAAAGGGGTTGGGAAAGTTTGGCAATGGATGAGAAGCCCTTCCAAGTCCACTTCCTAATTTTGGAGTGAGGAGGCCTTTTAAACAATGACTCAAAATCAAGAAGCAACAGAATGCAGCACTGTTTATCATAGCCAGGACATGGAAGCAACCTAGATGCCCATCAGCAGACGAATGGATAAGGAAGCTGTGGTACATATACACCATGGAATATTACTCAGCCATTAAAAAGAATTCATTTGAATCAGTTCTAATGAGATGGATGAAACTGGAGCCCATTATACAGAGCGAAGTAAGCCAGAAAGATAAAGACCATTACAGTATACTAACACATATATATGGAATTTAGAAAGATGGTAACGATAACCCTATATGCAAAACAGAAAAAGAGACTCAGATGTATAGAACAGACTTGTGGACTCTGGGAGAAGGCGAGGGTGGGATGTTTCAAGAGAACAGCATCGAAACATGTATATTATCTAGGGTGAAACAGATCACCAGCCCAGGTTGGATGCATGAGACAAGTGCTCGGACCTGGTGCACTGGGAAGACCCAGAGGGATTGGGCGGAGAGGGAGGTGGGAGGGGCGATCGGGATGGGGAACACATGTAAATCCATGGCTGATTCATGTCAATGTATGACAAAACCCACTACAATACTGTGAAGTAATTAGCCTCCAACTAATAAAAAAAAAAAAAGCAACAGAAAGAGAGATTGAGATATTCAATGACATAAAAAACAAAAGCTCAAATATGGCGACAATAATCCAAGCAGAAGAGAAGAAATAATAAATTTAATAAAACTTAGAGCACGAGTTGGAGAAGGCAGTGGCACCCCACACCAGTCCTCTTGCCTGGAAAATCCCATGGGCGGAGGAGCCTGGCGGGCTGCAGTCCACGGGGTCACAAAGAGTCGGACATGACTGAGCAACTTCACTTTCACTTTTCACTTTCATGCATTGGAGAAGGAAATGGCAACCCACTCCAGTGTTCTTGCCTGGAGAATCCCAGGGACGGGGGAGCCTGGTGGGCTGCGGTCTATGGGGTTGCACAGAGTCAGACACGACTGAAGCAACTTAGCAGCAGCAGCATGAACAATTCTATGGCCATAAATTTGATAGGCTAGACGAAACAGACCAATTCCTTGAAAGATACAAACTACCAAGGGGTGGCCTGTAGTAATATAAAATATGAAAGCAAGAGAGCCTCCAACCTCAGCTCAAAGGAGACATATGAGCTGGGAAAGAAGTAGATGGCAACACAAGGTGATGGGCAGTGAGACGGAGAGGCCAGAAGGGAAGGTTTCAAAGAGGAAGTGCTATCTAAAACAGACATGGACAGACACTTCCACCAGGACCACTCCAAGCCACCTCAAAATCAATGAATCCACAACTGCTATGAACTGAATTGTATCCTTCGAAGTTCACCGTGTCTCAAGCCCCAGTACCTTACAATGTGACTGTGTTTGGAGATGGTACCTTTAAAGTAAGTAAGTAAGTTACAATGAAGTCATCAGGGTTGGCCCTAATCCAGCATGGTTGATGTCCTTATAAAAGACAAGGATATAAATAACCAGGAGATGCCAGGGGTGCACTCACATAGAAGGATGACCGTGTGAGAGGCAGCAAAGAAGGCAGCATCTGGAAAGCCATGAGAGAGATCTCAGAGGAAACCAACCCTGCCAGCACTTAGAACTTGGACTTCCAGACTCCAGAACAGTAAGAACATAAATGTCTATTGTTTGGATTGCCCTGGTGGTCCAGTCATTAAGAATCCAGTGCCAATGCAGGGGACACAGGTTCAACCCTTGGTCCAGGAAGATTCCACACGCCTCGGGGCAACTAAGCCCGTGTCACAACTACTGAGCCTCTAGAGCCTGTGCTCCACAAGAGAAGTCACCCCAATAAGAAGCCCGCACACCGAAACTAGAGAGCAACTCCCACCCCCCGCAACTAGAGAAAGCCTTCTCGCAGTCACAGAGACTCAACACAGCCAAAATATTAATTAATTTATTAAAAAGTCCGTTGTTTAAACCACCCAGTCTGTGGGATTTTGTTCTGGAAGCCCTACCAAACTAATACAAAAATCTAAAATCATGATCTTTTTCCCAGAAACCAATTCTCTTTCACAGTCTACTATCCACCCTGAAGGCCAGCCAGAAGCCTCACCCTCATATCTCATAAAAAAAGTCTGTACCAAGACCTGTCAATTTTACCACCCAGCTCTCTCTCATCCAATCAATATCATTTCTCATCCAGATGATCTTTGGAAAACCTCCTCAGTGGTTTCCCAACATGTACTTTGGACACATCCTATCTGCGTTGCCACTGCACCCAGAAAGATCTTTTTAAAAAACAAAAACAACCATCTCACACTGTACCCTCCCCCAATCCCTACAGCCCTACAGTGGGTGACCATAGCTTTTAGGATAAAGATAAACTCCATTCCATGGCCTATATGGTCCAACCCAGTCTCCACCTCTATGGCCCAACCCACCCTCTCTGCTCCCTAGTCACTCAGCCTTTTTCAGCTCCATGAATGAGCAGTGCTCCTTGCCACAGGGCCTTTGCATGTGCTATTCTTTCTGCCTGGAAAGCTCTCTACCATCTATCACCTGGCTAACCCCACTCATTCAGATCTTGGCTTAAGCACTACCTCCTTAGAAACATTCTCTAACCTACTCTTCCAAGTCTAGATCACATTTCTTTACAGTAAGTACTTAAAGAAGTGAGTTCCTGTCCATCAATGGTCTTCTCTGAGTTTATTTTAAAAAAAAACATTCTTTTTTTTTTTTAATCCATCAGTCTTTGCTTGATATTAATCTTCCCCACTAAATGTGAAGAACTGGGAGAGCAAGAACCATGACTCTTTGCTTCACCATCAAATCCCAGCATGCAGCACAGAGCTTGGTACAAAGTGACAGCTGATACCTACTACATATATGAAGCCATGTGCAGAATTCGGAAAGAACGCAGAAGAGTGCATTCCAGGCACAAAATAAAGATGCTGAGTGATGTGTCAAGATCACCCTTCTTGCAATTTGAGGAAACCAGAATAGTGCAGTTTATAAATATAAAAAGCTGGAATTCCTTGGCAGTCCAGTGGTTAGGACTCCATGCTTGCACTGCAAAGAGCACAGGTTCAATCCCTGGTCAAGGAAGAACCATCCCACAAGTGGCATGCAGTGGGGTCAAAAAAAAGGGAGGAGTTTAGGGTGGAATCCCAAACCACCCCCTACACACACACAGGCACCCTAGGTACATACCCAAATTCTACAAGGTCTCTGTCAAAATGCACACTGTCTTCATAGAAGACACTCAGCTGTGCATCAACAGCAACAACTTTTACCTGGAAGGTAAAATATTAAAAATAATGGATAGACTTTTGCTCAGCTTCTATATTGGTCCAGGGATATGAACATCACCAAGTGAAGCCCGGCCCCCTAGTAGTGGTTCAGTCTGGAGACCTCCTTGAGGCTGAGGTACATCATTGCAATTATCTGGGTAAGAGGCCTCATCTGACAACATATCCAAAGACTTAGTAAAATGAAGAAGTGGAAGCTAAACAGAAACACCCCAAATCACTCAGGGAATTTCTGCCCTCCCCAACAGTCAAAGCCAAAATCCTCTAGAAGTAGATGTTCATAGACGAGCTGGTTCCTGTGCCAGGCAAGAAGGTCTGAGAAAGACCTAGAGGAGAAGGAATGGGAGGCAGCGTTTGGAGACACCTCTGGGGTGTCCATGCCTGCACGGATCTAAGAGACCAGGCAAGGTCCCCGGTTTGTTCCCAAAGGCCATGATCAAGGACCAGAGATACATGTCCCAGTGGAGCAGACCTCCAAACTCAAGGGTACAACTCCTTTACTGGACAGATGGGGAAACAGGCCTCGCAAGACAACCTGACTTATTCAAGGTCCCCCCAGGAGTTTCTGGTCAGGGATTGACCACAGCCTTGCTCCCCTGACCCATCTGTGGAGAGGGGTTTGTCTTTAACTGCGACCATGTCCTAAGTTAAGGAGAATGAGCTCCTTGATACCCCAAACTGGAGAGCAAATCTTGACTCTGCCTGCCTGCGTGCCTGTCTCTGGGAGCAGCACAGTCGGGCAGGTTGACCTGGGCACGCTGGTGCCATCCAAGGGCTGTCACGGACGGGACAAAGTTCAGGTGTACATCGTGCCCGTTTCACTTTAAAAAAAAGCTTCAAGCGGTGATCTGGTTCCCGGTCACTGGCTCCGCCTGCGTGTCTGCCCGTCTGTCTGGCCCTCTGTTTAAAGGAGCTGAGTTCCTTCGGGTCCCTGGCAACCTGTGCTCAAGTCTGTCGCCGCGCTCCAACGCGCAGACACGCCGGGCCCGCCCCTCGCCCCGCCCGGCCGACCTCCCGGACCCGGGGCCCCCGCCGCCTTGGGCTCTGGCGCCACCTGCGGGTGAACGACGTGAGGACGCGCGGCAGCTCAGCATCGCCTGCTTTTCGCACCTTGGGCGATCGACTGGCAGCTCACTCCCTCCAACCCCACCTCGCCCCGCCTCCCATCCAAATGTGCTCCCTGCGCGGACCCGGCCTTATCGCGGCCTGCCTTCTCTTGGAGGACGCCTGGACCAAAGGATTTATCCTTAGGCCGGCTTATTCCTACCTGTCTCTCTGAGAGCCCGGAGCCTGGGACCTCCAAGTTCGACTCTCTCGGGTACTGGAGCAGCTGTCCACTCATGGTGCCGAGTTAGGGGGCACAGGGAAATGGACCCAGGGACTGAATCCGCGCTGTCGGCAGCGAAAGCGAAGAGTCCCAATCCCTGGACCACCAGGAAATTCCCTAGGCGTTAGTTTTGAAGTACTTTTAAAAATTCAGCACTGTTTTTACAGTTTACTCATATGTATTCTCTGGTTCCCAAACCGTGCGCCCAGGTGCTCTGGGAAGATGAAGGGAACCCACAGGGGTGCAGCGGAATATTTTTACTTTTGGAGGGAAACAGGGATACTCATCTCAACCTTTGTCAGTCTCCAAGGACACTGCTAAGTCGTTGACTGTCGACTACTAGGCAGTCAACGGTTCTAACACTGAATTTGCTAGATTCTTTTCCAGGATAAAGCATCATATCTTTGCACAACTGTGTCATAATGATCAGCAAATCGCGGTGATTAAGCAGTCATGGTGATAAACAAGTACTGCAGGAAAATTAAAGTGAAAAAATAAGGGCAGCGGTTTTCAGTCTGATCCTAATCTTTGAAGAGTTGTGCAACACCCAACAGGCACACACATCCCCTTAGTGAGTAATTATGCTTATTTAAGAAGGAAATGAAATTATTTTCTCTCCCTACTCTGTGCACTAATTTCTTCAAAGAGCTTTTAAGTTGTTAGGACACAAGTATATATGAAGCCGTTTGGGTCTAACTGTTGATACTTAATAAACAGAACCATTAACCTGTTCTTCTGGCCGAGGAGCACATGATAAAACTAAGATTCTGAAGGATGCCGTGAAGCGTACAGTGTGTGGGGACCCCTGATCTACTTGGTTGCTTGTAACCCCTCTATCGTGTTCATTAGTGCACTGACCCCAGGTTTTGCTGCGCAGGCTGCCCCCTGAGGAACACTGGGGTGGACTCCAGTTCCCCACTAATGCAAGTAGCACAGGTTGAAACATCCTCATCCATGGTTCTATGGACCTCTGGGAGGGAATTTTTTTTTTGGGGGGGTGGGTAATATCCAAGAGTAGGGTTTATACTATGTGTGCATAACTCAGAGTGCTGGATTACTTCTGAGAATCGCTATACTGGTCTACACTCCCACCGGGAATGCCCAAGCGTACCTGAACTTCTCCATCCTATATATAGTACCGGGCATTTATATCCTTTTTTATTTTATTATCCTTTAATAGGTGAGAGGTGGTTTCTCGTTATTGCTTTAATTTGCATTTCTCTCATTATTGATGAATTTGAGCTTCTCTTCATTATACACTCACTAGCCATTTAGGATTTCCCATTCAGTGAATCCCCTGCTTTATTCCCTTTGCCCATTTTTCAAATTGGGAATTTTTGTCTTATTTTAAGGATTTGCAGGAGTTTCTTATATTTCAAGATGTAAGTTCCCAATTGGTCTTAGGTATTGCAAATATCTTCTCCCAATATGTCATTTATCTGCTAACTTTGCCCATCTTGCCCTTCATGGACTGGAAAATTTTAATTTATGGATTTGAGCAAGCTCTAGGAGTTGGTGATGGACAGGGAAGCCTGGTATGCTGCAGTCCATGGGGTCACAAAGAGTCGGATATGACTGAGTAACTGAACTGAACAAGGTCTTTGACTGAATCAAGTTTTCTTTCAATCTAGGTGTTTGTTAACTGAATATATTACATCTTGACACACAAGTCAGTGAAAACTAATCTATCTGAGGGTAAGCACTAGATGTAAGCTTTTCAGAAAAAGAAAAACATTTAATTTAGTAGATATAATAATGAGAACTCATTGTAAAATAGGAAAAGGGAGACAAACATAAATTCAGTTTCTATACTCTGTTCACCAATGAAACACCCCTGAACTATCTCTTCATTCTTTAAAGGCTGCAGCCACAACATGAATTTTTCTCAAAGTTATTTTTTTCTCTTTCTTTGAGAAAAACTCTGAGGAAATATGCTTTCTGGATAAAAATGCACTGTTTTTCAATTCCAATATATTTTATTCTATTTGTGTAGTAATAGACTAGTTGTTTTTATCCAACCTACCTAAAGCTGTGTTCATTAGTACTGATTCTACTGAAACCATTCAGGCCTATATATACAGCCTTCTAAATAAGTAGTTTTAAGAGTGAAAAGTTAGGAATATACTCGTAGCTTTATATATATAAAGCTAGATATATATATATACTATATATAAAACTTTATATATAGTATATATATACACCTATCCCTTCCACTTTTAACACAAAGATAAAATCACTGAATCAAAAGTAATCAGAAATTGGGAAATGGAATAGATAATTCAGGCACTTCCCTGGTGATCCAGTGGTTAGGACTTGGCACTTTTCACTGCCATGGCCCTGGGTTGGGGAACTAAGATCCTGCAAGTCACATGATGTGGCCAAAAAATAAGTTTTTAAAAAATCAATTATAATCGCTTCTCGGCCTTTTGGCTAAGATCAAGTGTAAAAAATCAATTATAATTCAGATTCACTAATGTAGGGCTTCCCTGGTGGCTCAGATGATAAAGAATATGCCTGCAATGTGGGATACCTGGGTTTAACCCCTGGGTTGGGAAGATACCCTGGAGAAGGGAACAGCTACCCACTCCAGTATTCTGGCCTGGAGAATTCCATGGACAGAGGAGTCAAGCATGCTATAGTCCATGAGGTTACAAAGAGTTGGACACGACTGAGTGACTTTCATATTCAATATTTTATTATACCTGTCTGAAATCTCATAGATTTCATCTTGATATATGTCAGAAATTAAATAATTCTTCTCTCTGTTCTATCTCAAAGGTAGTACAAAATTTTTGTAAGATCAGTGGGACGCTGTTATGAGTGAAAATAAATGTTTTGAACTATAGCCCTTAGCAGGTCTAACGTCATACAGATTTGTTTATCCAAGTCTGAGGGTGAGGGGTGGGTCCTGCCTCTAGTTAAATAAGTAACTCAAGCAGCTGAGATTCAGATTTTTTTAAAAGCTATTTTGTGTCTACATCTGGAGAAAAGTTTGATGGACTTTGATTCTAAAGAGCTTTGAGGAGAAAAGCTCCTGCTCTTCCTGCGCTTGTACTAACCTCAGCAGCGAATTCGATTTAGGAAAACTAAATGTTGGTGCTCTTCTCTTGCATTTTCCTGATTTTAGTGCTCTTATACCTGGGAATCTCAATTTCTCCTATTCCAGGAGTGTTTAAAGCAGTTCTGTATACATGAAAGGAAGGTCTGGAAATATATACTTCAAGTTTTGTTGTTTTTTAAATGAGTTTATTTTCTGTCAGACTCAAATATTTATTTGGCTGCACCGGGTCTTAGTTGCGGCATGCAAACTTTTACTTGTGGCATGTGGGATCTAGTTCCCCGACCAGGGATCAAACTGGGCCCCCTGCATTGGGAGCACAGAGTTTTAGCCACTTTCCGTTAGGGAAGCCCCTCTAAGTTATTAACAATTATCTGTTGGAGTGGGACTTAAAAACTGGTGGTTAGGGAGTGACTTCTGCATTTGAATTTATTCTGTATTGTTGAGCTTTTAACTTTTAGACTAAAAGAATAAAGAAAATACCAGCAAACAAAATAGCAGTAATGGATTGGCTCTCAGGCTTCTTAGTACTTTTAACTTATTCTCTTAAATAATTACTGAGTCAAAGAGGATGTCAAAATACAACACACTGTTTAGAACCCAGGAAAAGGAAAACATCCTTTTCAGAACTTTGGGGATACACATACTCAAAAGATAAATGCATATTCTTGAATGCTTTCATTAAGGAGTGAAGAGAGCAACGAAGCCTGGGCACCACAACTACCGAACCGGCATTCTAGAGCCCATGAGACCACGTGTTGCAGCTACTAAAGCCCGCCCACTCTAGAGCCTGTGCTCCACAGCAAGAGGAAACTCTGCCTTGAGAAGCTCGCTCACCATAACTAGAGTCTCCAGCTTGCTACAACTAGAGAAAGCCCGAGTAGCAACGAAGACCCAGCGCAGCCAAAAATAAATTTAAAATAAATTTTTTAAAGAGTGAAAAGAAATTAACGAACGTCATATAGTGAGCAGAGGGGCTTCCATGGTAGCTCAGATGGTAAAGAATCCGCCTGCAATGAATGCAGGAGACCCTGGTTCAATTCCTGGGTGGGGAAGATCCCCTGGAGGACGGATGGGCTATCCACTTCAGTATTCTTGGGCTTCCCTGGTGGCTCAGAGGGTAAAGAATCTGCTTTCAGTGAGGGAGACCTGGGTTCGATCCCTGAGTTGGAAAGGCCCCCTGGAGGAGGGCATGGCAACCCACCCCAGTATTCTTGCCTGGAGAATCCCCAAGGACAGAGAAGCCTGGCGGACTACAGACCATGGGGTGGCAAAGACTCGGACATGACTAAGCGACTAAGCATACATAGTGAGCAGAATTGTGTATTCCCCAAATGTATGTTCAAGTTCTAATTCCCCGTTACCTGTGAATGTGACCTTATTTGGATATAAGGTCTTTGCAGATGTAATCAAATTTAAATGACTTTGTAATGGGTGGACCCTAATCCAGTCACTGGTATCCCCATAGGAAGAGAGAAATTTAGACACACACACAGATACACACTCAAGGACTGCTGGCAACTACCCAAAGCTAGAAAAGGCACAGAAAGATTCTTTCCTAGATTCTCCAAAGAGAACATTCAGTTCAGTTCAGTTGCTCAGTCGTGTCTGACTCTTTGCAACCCCATGGACTGCAGTACGCCAGGCTTCCCTGTCTATCACCAACTCCTGGAGCTTACGCAAACTCATGTCTTGAGTCGGCGATGTCATCTAATCATCTCATCCTCCGTCGTCCCCTTCTCCTTCTGCCTTCAATCATTCCCTGCATCAGGGTCTTTTCAAATGAGTCAGTTCTTCACATCAGCTGGCCCAAGTACCCCACCATAATCTTAATTTTTGGATTGTAACCTCTAGAACTGTGAAAAAGAAAATCTCTATTTTTAAACCACCCACTTGGTGGTACTTTTCTCAGAAGCCCCAGAAAACTAATACACTCCATAAATCAGGGGCTCTGAAAGATACACAGCCTTTTGATGAATTTCCCTCCATGTATAAAGAAATGCCTGAATTTTACATAACTGCTGAAGTCCCACTGTTAAACTGCCCACTTCTCTAAACATATGTCATGGACAGCTTTTCATGTCTGTAAATATGGAGCTTTAATAAATTGTATTGACTATATAATCTCAACAGTAGCATCTCTTAGTAATGACTTAAAGTTTGTTTTTAAAAAAAATTGGGACTTCCCTGGCAGTCCAGTGGTTAGAATTCCACTCTTCAACTGATCGGGACATGGGTTCTGTCCTTGGCTGGGGAACTAAGATCCCGTAAGCTTCACGCCCCCGCCCCCCTGCCAAAAAAAATGGAAACTTTTTTTAAAATGTATTTATTTGGCTGTGCCAGGTCTTAGCTGCAGCACACAGGGTCTTCATTCTTCATTGCAGCAGGTGGGATCTTTAGCTGCAGCATGTGAACTATAATTTGCAACCTGTGGGATCTAGTTTCCTAACCAGGGATCAAACCTGGGCCCCCTCCCTTGGGAATGTGGAATCTTAGCCACCAGATCACCAGGGAAATCCCCTCAAATTTTATTTTCCCCAAATTATGTATTTTTAATGTAACAAAGCTGCAGTGAACATCCTTGTGTACACCTGTCTTCGTATCTCCTCCTTTGGGTAAGTCAGGGGAGGATTCCTGAGTCAAAGGGTAGACAGAATCTAAATATCAATATCTGTACATCTTACCAAACTCCCCTCCAGAAATACTGCACAATGCACCCTTCTAATTGCAGTCAAGTAAGCACCCTGCTCTCAGTTCCTTCATTACTCTGCCTTCTGCTAATCTCTCTTTTTTAACATTCTCATTGATACATAAGTCACATACCAAACAATCTGTTTAGAGTGCTCAATCAATGGTTCTGAGTGTGTTCACAGAATTGTGCAACCATTGCCAAAAATCTTAGGACACTTTCATAAACCCCCAAAGAAATCCCACTGTTCATTCTTTCCCATTCTCCCCAAACACTGGCAACCACTAATCTACTTTGCCTATTAGGACATTTAAATTAAATAGAACCATACAACCTCTGTGACCTCTTCTGACTGGTTTACTATACTCCGCATATTTTTCAAGACTCATTCACACAGTAGTGAAGCTGAGCCTCCTAAAACAGAGTTCCCTTATCTGGTTTATGATTAACCTCTCTATCTAAACCATTATTCCTTTTCTTGTCCCCTTGACCTTAATCCTGTGCTCACTGAACACTAATCAACTAGAGGTACGTGATGACTAAAACAGCTACTGTTTATAACATGATAACATCATCTATGTACTAAAATTGCTGTTGTAGATACCTAATGTACAAACTCAAGTTACATCTCCAGGGCAAGATGAGTTCACAGGCCCCTGAGCCATGGACCATCTTCCTGATCAGAGAACTGAAAACTGGAAAACTCATGACTCCTTGAAACTATGATTTTTAAAATATCACAGAAATGATACAAGACAATGACTAATCTCAGCTTCCTAGTTCTTCCCTTTTAAAAACACCTCCAATTCAAATTTGGAATGGATTGGAAATGTGTCCCCCACTCCCTTTCTTGGTACTCTGCAATAAACCATGACTTTGCTGCTAACATCCAGTGTCAGAGTTTGGCCTTCTTCACTGCAGACACAGGAGCCCTTTGCTAGGTAACAGTAGTGCGTATAAGTACTTCATTCCTTTTTTGGCCAGAAAACATTCTATTGTATGGATATATCACCCTACAGCCACCAGAGTGACCCTTGTGGAAGGCAAAACTGACTCTGCGTCCACTGCCTAAAAAACCGGCAGAAGCTCCTCACTGCCCTCAGGGTAAAGACACAGTCTGACCTGGGCCTACGGGCGTGCCCACATCTCAGCTCCAACGACCCACATTTCAAGTCCTCAATGGCCGTATCTGGCCAGTGGCTAGCCTATGGCCTGTTAAAATATACAATGCCAAACTCTAGGTAATATTAGCCATTGATTAGATAAACAAACGGGCTTTCCTAATGGTTCAGAGGTAAAGAATCTGCCTGCAATGTAGGAGGCACGGATTCGACCCCTGGGTCGAGAAGATTCCCTGGAGAAGGAAATGATAATGCCCTGCAGTATTCTTGCCTGAGAAATCTTATCACACAGAGGAGCCTGGTGGGCTACAGTCTATGGGGTCACAAAAGAGTCAGACACTACTTAACAACTAAACAACAACAATAACATATAAGCAAACTAGGTCCTGTCTGCAAGTGATTGACAAACCCTGGCCACCTAAGGAATATCTGAGCAAGGTAGGGGTGTTCTAGATCTTCTGCCAATCACATCTGTGGCCACCAGCTCTTTTGACTCTGCCCCATCAGTGTCCAGACTCATGTCTTCCTCCTGTTCCCTGCAGCACTGGCTGAATCCTTCCAGCAAAGTAATGTGAGATGAGGCATTTAAACAGAGGAAATGGGTGGGCCATCACAGTTCACAGACAGGCCTCTCCCAGAAGGTGGAAGGGAGGCCTTTAAAATATCCTGTCGTCCTGTAAGCAGGAACTTCGTGAGATCTTTTCTCCTGGGCCTTTCAAACCCCTCTTTGGAGGCAATCCTGGGAAACTGGGTAAAGAATAGAGAAATCAGAAAATGATATCTTTATACATTTAGAATGGATAAACAACAAGGCTCTAGTGTATAGCAGAGGAAACTACATCCAACATCCTGGGATAAACCATAATGGAGAAAAACATTAAAAAAAAAAAAAAGAATTTGTATATGTGTATAACTGAGTTACTTTGCTCTACGGCAGAAATTAGCACCACATTGTACATAAATCAACTATTCTTCAATTTTAAAAAAAAGGAAAATGGTATTTTAAGATGGAGTCCTGGACCCCAGCTTCTCACTGTCCTGAAGTTTGGGCGCCCTGCTGCCCTGCCCTCCAGCCCCTGCCTGGGAGACCCTGAGGTTCCATGAAAACACTCCTTCCTTCCCACAGAATCTCTGGGGACTTAGCACCTCCCTGCAAACTGATAATGATCTTCCAAATAAACTCCTCTCCCAGGGAGGAGAGAGAGAGTGGAACCCAGGGCCTGTCCCAAATGTTTCTAGGTCTGACCAGTGGATAAGGAATCCTGGGCCCCACCTGGGGGAGCCCCTACAGTGACTGGGAAGGCAGACTCACCTCCAAGGCAGCCAGGACTGTGAGCTGGGGTTTGAGGATTATCCTAAGGGTGGTGAGGTCAGAGGTCAGTCGGGATGGAATCATCAGGGAAGACACAGCCCTCCCCTCTCCATGGGATAAGAGTGAGACAGGTAATCCCAGGAGGTGCTTATTTGGGAAAAGCAAAGGAAAGATGGCGTGAGAGAGCCTTGTGCCATGGCATTATTATTATTATTATTATTATTATTATTATTATCTCATTATTCCTTTACCCCTCCCTTGACAGGTACACACACACAGGGGCAGGCCTGTGGAATCTGTCCCCAGCCTGTACCTGAAGCAGGGAGCCCACCCACACCAGTGGACACCTGAGCTAAAGGATGTGGGCAGCATGGAGGTGAGTGGTACCCTTTCCCACTCCTGGCCCTCACAGACACCACCACCCCCACATCCCAATCAGATGACTCCTCGCTATCCCCAGAGGTCAGCGGAGACATCAAGGACCGCTCTCCTCCAGGCCCATGGGTCCTCTGGACACAGTGAATTTTGACCTAGTCATCTCAAGTAAAACATGGTACCTTTATTGGAATGAATCATATGCTAGCTCCCTGAGAGGTGGGGCCATGTCTAAATCTCCAGGGCTGGCCTTGGAGCAGGACTGACCCTGCCACCCAAGTTGGAATAGGCCTAGAATTCACAGCCCCATATCCAGCCCCTCAGCTCCCACCCGAGATCATCCGAAAGCCTGGTTCTCAGTCCTCCTCTTTGTCTATTTTTTCATCTTTAGATTGCAAAGGTGGGCTGGAGAGACTATCTTGGTCCATGCTCGTCAACCTGGAGTTGAGAATGGTGTTCTTGGCCACTTCCTCCGTCATGTCATCACTTAACATGTCCTCATTCGAGAGTTCCTCGCTTATGCTCCTGAAGAAACCATTGGAGAAAAAGTCTGAGCTGCACATCCTTTTAGGAGCTGAGAAAACAGGCCAGGCCTGGCTCTGCATTCTTGAGAGGTGGGGCTTTCCCATGCCTTGGTGGGTCCCCAGCCAAGCTTCTCCATGAGCCTAGGAGGGGTCCTCGCCTCCAGAATCAGGCCTGTTATGTCTCCCAGCCCTAGTCAGACCCTTCACTCTTCTGCATCTTTGGGATGCTGTTTACCATCTTTATCACTGGCATTTACTGAGCACTTGCCTTGTGCCACTGTGCCAACCACTCTATTATTTATTTATTGAATTTTTTTTTTGGCCTCACCACATGGCTTGCGGAATTTTAGTTCCCTGACCAGGGATGGAAGCCCAGGTCCTTGGCAATGAGATCACAGGGTCCTAACTACTGGAATGGCAGGGAATCCCCGCCAACCACTTCATTTGGGTTTAACCTTCCAAATTCCTATGAGAGAGGAAGGCAAGGTTCTATGTCTTTACCTCTCCATGCCTCAGTTTCCTCATCTGTAAAATGAGGGACAGTGACAGGACCTACCTGTCACTACTGCATGTGGTGATTTTTAGGGCAAAGGTGGAAAGGCATGCAACTAGAACAGGCCCTGACACATGGGAAATGCTCCATACACGTTAGCTCTTGTTATTATTACGTTATCATCCCATGTTGCAAATACTGAATCTCAGAGGTAATAGGTAACCTCCCTACGCACATGCTAGCAAATGTTATCAGGGACAGAGATCCAGGCTCTCTGGCTCCGGAGCCTGTGCTTTTAGCTACCGTCCTAACTAACTAAACACTACTATGTCCCTCTGCTGCATGCCACTCCCCTTCTCTACAACGGACCAAACGCCTATTCGTCCTTCAAAGCCCTACTCAAATATCCCTTCTTCTGGGAAGCCTGCCCCAAATCCCTAAACTAAAGTTCCTCCCTTCTGGGGTTCCTATAGGTCCTGTATATTCCTGTGTCAGAGTCCATTGGTGAAAACTGTTTGCATATCTGTCTCCCTTGCTCAAGCCCGGGAACTCTAACCTTTGACAGCCCAGCTCTGGTACCATGCCTAGTTCAGGGGCTGTCAATGAGAGTTTGAAAAAGGAGGCGAGAAGTAGGACGATGGTGGGAAGGAGGACTGAGGAAGCCAATAGCAGAGGCCCCTGTGCTATGAGCAGAGGGCACTGGAATACATCAAGCAGCCTCTGCCCCTCTCTGTTGCTCAGGTCCAGGGAGAGAGCTGTGGGTTCTGCTGGCCTAAATCCTAGGAGTGTTTCTACCAATCCTGACAAGCCTTTTACAGGGCACTTGAGACCAGAGAGCCCAGGAAACAAGTTGGGTGGAGCCCATTTCCCAAGTGGGGTCCTGGGCTATTGGGGCCAAGAGGCCAGAGTCATAAATCAAGACTGGGTCCCTTTAGTGACTTCCCTGGCTGTCCACAGGTTAAGAATCCACACTTCCACTGCAGGGTGCATGGGTTCAATGCCTGGTCAGTGAACTAAGATCATCCATGCTATGCAGTGGTATGGTCAAAAAAAAAAAAATCATAATAAAAGACTGGGTCCTTTTTGAGGAACTGGGAGTTCAGAAGGGAATGGAGAAGTACTCAGAAATCTGATTCCAAGCTAGTCCCCTGTGCCCTGGGAAAGGAGGAAGCCCAGAACATCGCCACGGGCATCACCCCTGTGTAGGCAGGCATCAGGGGCTGAGGAAAGAAGGTCTGGCCCACGCTGGGTCAGGAGAGCCAGACAGAATGGGAGCTGACAGAGGCTGGGCTGGACCAAGGCAGGTGGCAGCATCCAGGAGAGCGAGGGTGTCTGCTGTGAGTAGAGAGTAGCCTTTGTATCATAGGCCTTCTGGCAGCGGGGTGGCGACGGATAGTGTCTGACATGCTCTCGTGGCCAACGGCTTAAAAACCAGGCCCTGTTCTGGCCAGAGTCTAGCAGCCACACACACCTACCTTGACTGTGGTGTAATGTGCTCCAGGGTATCAGGTAGGGGCTGATCTTGCATTTCTGGCAAATTGGAGCAGTAGAACAAAGCCACGGAGGCCGAGAGGGAGCAGAGAATGATGGGTAGGATGGCAATGTTCTGGTGGATGAGTGTCACAGACAAGATGCCTCCAGCCACCCAGATCAGAGACACTAGACCCAGACCTGTCGCCCTGGAAGGGGAGGTGAGAGTTCATTTGGAGGCTTTTTGGGCCCAGCAACTGGACTGGGTGGGAAAAGTAGCTTCGCCAAATCCCACACCCTCATCTCCACCCTGCCCAACTCACTGTGCAACCTTGGAGAATTTAGTTACTTGTTATTGCAGAGGTAGGTAGTAATTTTTTATGGAGCCAGGAGTGGGAGAATTATAAGGCTCAAACACCATAGTATGGGTGTGTGAGGGTGGGTGGGGAGGGGGATACTACAGCCATCATCAAGGGTTCCTCTGGAGAAGGGCCTGAACCCCAGAGTGGCCCAGACACAGTTTAGACAGTCAGTGGCAGTCAGGGACTAGAGTCAAACAGCCTAGGTCCAAGTCCCACTTGTGCCACCTGCTATGTCTGACCTTGAGCCAGTGTCCTTGCCACTCTGATTTCATGTCTGAATGAGGGGTGATGATGGTGTCAGGGGGATATTGCGGGTGAGAGTTAAATGGAGTAGCCCATGTAAACTGCTTGGCAGGGTGCCTGTCACCCGATGAATGCCCAATCTCAGCTGCCGTTATTCATCCTATTATTGCCCACTCCCGACCACACCCCGCCCCCACCATCATCCACCAGGCCCCCCTACCTGATGATGGTGGGGAGGAGTTCAGAAGTGTAGATGTAGAACATGGTGATGGAGGCGGCCAGATTGAACTCTCCCAGCAGGGTTATCAAGATCACGAGGGATTTCAACTCTGTGGCCAGACAATGCGGCCACCTGAGTCTGCGGCCACCCTCCCCTTGGGGCAGGCGGGGGAGGCCTGCCCACTGGCCCTCCCTCAGTCCCCCTCAGAAGGCATCTGGACAGTCCACCCCTACCAGCTGGTCAGCAGACTCAGAGGAGGGTCAGTCTGCTAGAGGGAATAAGTACATCAGCTGGGAGAGTTGGTCAGTGGAGTGGGACCCCCATGGGCTCTCAGGCCATCACCTACTGTGTGGACTCAGCTCCTGCATCCCTGCCTCCAGGCTGTCTGTGATCTGCCACATGTTCACCCAGATCCAGCTTCCCCCGCCCCACCGCCTGCTCCTTCTGGAGCATCCATTCAGCCCCAGGCCGGCACCTTGTGTGCCGGGCTGCCTGCTCAGGGCTCTCCCCACTTCTCCTTCATTCTCTGCCAGGTAGAGAGGGGCAAGGGGGCATTTAGTCCCTGGGGCCTGAGTGGCTAGACATTCCAGGATGCCCAACTCTGGGGAGCCAGATTATACATTGGAAGAGGCAGAAATGATCTTGGGAAACCCCATTCCTCAGGTCTAGGGGAGTTGAACCCCCCAGCTCACTGACCTGGGGCCAGGAGTTCCAGCTCCTCCCCTACTAGCCTCTGCGGGACCCTGCCCCAGGCCTCCTCCCCGTGCTCAACTCCGGGCCTGGCTTCACTTGACTCTGGGATGAAATTGGAGACCTAGTTTTATTTACTGGGGGTTTTCCTCCTAGTCTGTCTGGTTTCAGATAGCTCTGCTTAACTCCTTATAGACCCGCATTTTTAAAAAGCCACTGAACAATGGAAACTGAATAACGGCTTTGTTTCTTCTGTTTTGTTTTAGCCAGTCAACACTGCCAACAGCAGGAGAGGGAGAGAAAGGGTCCAGGTCAAGACACACAAAACTGCAGCCCCCAGGGAGAGTGAGGGAGCTCCATGAGGCAGATCCTGGACACAGCCTCCCCAACCCTGGCCCCAGAGGCTGAGGGGGCTCCTGTGGTAGCCATTCTGATCAGGTGAATGAACGCTGACATCTTAAGGTCCACATCCTCAGCCCTGCCACATTCTTCCAGCCTTGTGACCTGGGGCATGTGCATTGTTCTAGGACTCTTTGCAATTTTGAAAATATTGAGAGTCCCCCCTCCTGTCTCCTTCCCTGGTTCTGAATTGATAGGGCATGGGGCACGGGGCCCCCTTGGGAATGAGTGGCCTCCATGCAAGTATTGTTTCTGAGAGTTTGGCCCAGTGTTAGGCTCAATCTGCAGTACACAGCTGAGTTTTTCCTGGTGAGGCTACGGATGACATAGGGCTGGGGTAGCAGTTGAAGACTGCCTCTGTTCACATTTAATTATTGATGTGGGCAGGACTCGAGGGGAAGACGGCTGCCCGCTCTCCTGCCCAAGGGCGATTCCTCTGAACAGCACCTCTTCCCCTCCCAGGGCCCTGGGACCTTCCAGTGCCTTGTCCTGGGAGGCCCCTCTTCACCCAAGAGGGCAGTGCTCTAGAGAATGGTCCCTTCTCGGGAAGTGCTAGGGCCACTATAGGGCTGGCGGGCTGTGGATGCAAGAGGCTGACTCCCAGGGTGTTGTGTTGGCTGGATAGGGCCAGGAGGCACGAGGTAGGGATTCGAGGAAGCTAGAGGGTTGGGGGGG